CAAGGGGTAGTCGACGTGACAGATAGCGGTCTTGCTTGGGGGTTGGACGATCCAGGGAACGGGTTCGATGTTGGGAACATTTTTTTCATCTGAAAGATCTACCATTCTGTTTCTGAGGTTATCAGGAATGTATGCGAATGAACTGTTATGGTGTGGGTTTAGAGGGCGTTCTGAGCAGTACTTATAGTTATTGCGAGAGGAACTCTGGGTTTGCTTGTCCGAGCCTGATGACCACGCGTTACATTACAGACCGTAGAGTCTGGATTTGCGCTATTGCTCACGAGCTCGTTGCCGCCGAAAATCATTGTGTGACAATCGACATACATTATGAGACGTGACATGTCTAGCAAGCTATCCGGTAGAGCATGGCCAGTCGAAAGTCTTGGATGCATCGCAATGAGGATATGACGCCTCCACCTGGATGAGGGGAAATCTCGACATCCTAAAGTCTACATTAACGTTAGGTTACCCATTATGCATGTTTTTGTCTTAATGTAGGGCGCAGGCGTGTTTAAATTCTTTTCCTTGCGTGAGGTGCAGACATTGATCGGGGTAGCATCCGTTTTTCACAACACGATCTTTCGTAGTCATGATGAAGCATCGGAATGCCGTAATCGCGGGTACGGTAGCTAGCAAGTTGTTGGGCTGTTGCAGTGATGTTGAGGAAACAGCCCTGGAGGCGCCGAGCACGCGTCCCCCGCCGCGGTCGAGGATGACTAAGCACTCCATGACGTCACGCGTCTAGCTCGGCTTTTCGAAGGACTCGCGTTCGCGCGAAGCTGCGTGGTCAAACAGAGACTCATCTTTAGATTATTGAATCCAGTTACGCGTAAATTCTCCATGATGAGGCCCGACCCCTACCTCTCAAGTCCGCCACGTAACACTTACTACGGCTCTTTAGCATCACGGACTCCAACGTTGGGCGATTAACACGCTTGCTGGTGTCTAGTATTACGATATGTTAATAAGCAGCCTTCTATGGCAGTAGCGGCATGTGCTGCTGATCATGCACACCAATTCACCAACTACGCGACAACTCTTCCCATTTCTGCGACACAGCTCCCGAGCGCAGCGTCACCATCTTGACGCCACGCTTCGCTCTCTTTCTTCGTGCAATATGGGCCTTGATCTCATCCTCAATGCTTTTTGGCGCCGTCTTAACCTCTTTGTTCGGCGGCGATGGTGCATTCGCAACGGCGTCTTCCTCAACCTCCACCAACATCTCCTCACGCTTCCCCAATTTCCGCCTCTTACCCTTCTTCTTAGTACTGATACGCATTCTCTCCGCAGCCACCGCCACCTCAACATCTTCAACACGGCACAGTCCCAACTTACCCAACACCTCAACCTCAACCTCCGCACCGTACGCCTTGCGAAACTGGTCATCTAGCATGCGCTTCACAGCCACAGGCTCAACCTGCATCATCTTGCATGTCGGAAAGACTGCTAATTCAAGCTGCTGTGCCATCGAACGGAGAAGAACCTCGTCGACCTCATCGCGATCAATAATGGGCAGCTCGTCGCGGAGCTTGCCGATGACGGCGTGTTTCTCTTCATCGTTGAGATTGGCAGCTTGGTATTGCTCAAATGTGTATTCAGTGATGCTAGGTTCGCGTTTCGCGACTGGAGTGGTATTGGGTGGCAAGAAGGAAGGTGGATGTGCGGGAGTGCCGATTCTTATGTCATTCACTCCTCTCAGACGGCCCACGACAACTCTGGGTTCGCTTTTCTTGTCGCGTCTAGGCATATCTTGATGAGTATAGTGCGACGTTCGGAGTTGAGTTGGATAGGCGTTTCTGCTGACGAACGTGATTTGGTAAAGTAACCAAAAGCTTTTGTAGCTAGAAGGTGCTTTGCACATGACCTACTGGCTCTGTAATTCACTTCCATGTTGATCTCACCGGAGCGAAATTATGCTTTCTGGTGCGCTCGCATCGGTGGTTTGTACTGTACGAGCGCATGTGGCTCGCTGTCTTGCGTTTGCATTGCTGGTAGCGAATAGTTGACGAAAGATGAGGACGATTTGACAAGAGTGAAAACGCGACGCATTTCATGAGGGTAAATATTTCATTAATGGTTTTATTGAATCATTCACGTCGCATCGTGCGCGCCGTGTCTGTGAATCGCTTCAAGCTCATAGCATGAACAGACCGGCAAGAACACCGAAGAGGCTGACGCCAACGGCGCCTTGACCAAGACGTGCAGCTGCGTTCTCAGTCTGCTGAGGCGGTGCACCAGTCGTGGGTGAAGTGCCGTTGCTGGTAACGTTACCAGCTCCGGGAGTGTCCTCCCTCTGGCCGTCGACCTCCTCGATACGTCCATCGAGCTCGATGTTTACTGGCGTCTGGCTCAAGATGTACGAAGTGAGTACCTCATCCTGAGTGTCCAGGGTGATGAAATCAGTCGAAGGCTCGAAGAAGTTGTCACCGCCGCCAGCAATGAAGTCAAGAGTGACCATCTGGTATGTAGTGTCGTTGTTGAGAGGCTCGTCGCCGATGGTGACAGAGACAAGCTTGGAGTTGTTGGCGTTCTCGGGGTTGTATTCGACCTTGATGCCGGTGCTGACCTGGAAGAAAGACGTGACTTCCCTGCCATTGCCGACGTTGACACCGGTCACAATACCCTCCAAAGACTCCCAGAGGGTCTTGCCATCGATTTCAACCTGAACGATGGCGTTGCCAAAGGGGAAGGAAGTCAAGACTTCGCCGCGGGTGATGTCACCCTGGTCAATGGTGGCACGGATACCACCAGCGTTGATGAGAGCAAAGTCGACATCGTCGGTGTTGTTCTTGCGGTAGGCGAGCATAGCATCAGCCATGAAGTCACCGAGCAGGCACTCTTTCTGTTGGCAAGTCGTCTGGTCGAGCTCTACCTCGCTGGTACCAAGCACCTCCGCAGCGAACTCTTCGAAGGGAATGCGCCACTCCTCGATCTGCTCTTGGAGGTCCTCATCCTGCTCGGTAGTGTTGGTGAGGTGAATCGGAGCGCCATGGTAAGCAAGGATCTTGCCCTGAGGGTCGTAGGTGACATCGATGTAGCCGAGGTACTCGCCCCAGCGGTAGGCAGTGACGATAAAGACCTCGTCTCCATCTTGGTTCTCGACAATTGTTGGATATTTGCCTTCAGCATCTTCCATGTCACCGAGCAGGGTGTGGCTATGGCCGCCCATGATGAGCTGGAGACCAGTGGTAGCCTTGGCCAGCTCCTGGTCCTTGTCGTAGCCAATGTGAGTGAGAGCAGCAATCCTGGTGATGTTGGTAGTGGCCTTGATCTCATCGATAGCACCTTGAACGGCCTCAACGGTATTGGAGAAGACGGTGGTGACATCGGCGTTGCTGAGACTGCCAGTCTCTTCCGCAGTGACACCGATCAGCGCCAAGCCGTGCTCCTCAAAGATGGTGTATGGCTTGACAGTCTTGTTGACGTTCTCGTCCTCGGAATGCACATTCGCGCTGACAATGGGGAATGTAAGGTTGACCAGGAACTCCCCGAGCGCCGCATCACCGCCATCAAACTCGTGGTTGCCAAGGGTCATGGCATCAAAACCGAGTTGGTTCAGAGTCTCCGCAATCTTCTCGCCGCCGTAGTAGCCGTAGAACAGAGTGCCCTGGAACTCATCACCGGCATTCAAGAAAAGACTGTCCTCGTAGTTGGGGCGTTGCTCCTCGATGACGGTCTTCACACGCGCGTAACCACCATAGCAGCCGCGCTCGGGCCTGGTGCAGTCGGTTCCTGAAGAGCTGAACTCATCAAGATGGGCATGCACGTCGTTGATGTGGAAGAATGCTGAATCACGTGAGCAGAGGCAATGTTGGAGTCAACACATGCTGACTTACAGATGTTGTAGTTTCCGTCCGCATCAATGCCTCGCTTCACCATACGCTTGCTGTACAGCGCGTCTTCTGCTTGAGCGATAGCCGTCAGCGCCGAGACGGCGATAAGTGACGCGCTAGATCCAGTGGCGAACTTCATCTTCACTCCGACTGGGCTTGGTGGAGTTGGTGAGAAGAGGCGCGAGCACGACAGTAAGCCACCTCCCTGGCAGCCTGTCACTATTTGTACCACGCAAACAAAGCGGACGCCGCCGCCTCAGTAGCTGCAGTCACGGCATTTCAGCCTTGGCGACCTTGGCGGTGGCCGTGCTTAATTCTCGGCAACTGCCTCTTGAGGTTTGGCGCCTTGCTGTGCCTGATAACAATTCACCAATGAGCAACACACGTGCGACGTGGGCTTACAAGACGCAGGAACGTTGCACGGAGACCTGGAACTCGGCGTTGCCTTCTGCATGAATTCAATGACATTGCCGTCGACACGTGGGCTTGGGAAGTAGAATGACCAATTGAATAGGCGCTTAGAGAAGCGACTACAGTTTCCTGAGAGCCGAGCTATCCATAGTCGAGTTCATACTAACGGGAAAACGGGCGGACCGATGACGGTGATGATGATACCGGTAACGGGCTAGATGTGGCATACCAACTCCGAAATCCCCAAGACCTGGATCCTGGAAGCCCCGGACTCCAGAACAGGTTCGCACGTAGAGGAAGATGAACATTTATTGATAGTACATTGCGCTACGACAACAAGACGAATGAGTAGTAAGCAAACAAAAACGATATACAAAATGTGAAAATCGCCCAAACGCAATCCTCCAACATCAAAGCCAACAAAACCGTTATCACACCTGTGCGAGCCTGCCACACCTCCTCCAAGACACTCGCGTCCCACCGCATCGGTTTCCAAGTCGTAAAAGCGTTCGCGATAAATGCGGGGTCCCACCACTCGCCCCGCCCTGTCGAAAAGGACGCCCCGGCTTTGTTACGTGCTAGTGATCGTCAGCGTAAACCCACTTATCTTACCGGACCTCCATCAATCTTTCCATCATCTCATTCCATCTCTTGAATAGCGCTCCTTTCTCGTCCGTAACCAAAGCCTTGATAGTCGTCGTTAGCGAAGAACGTGGAACCACTTTAGGAGTCTCTTACCTCCAACAGTCCCGTCTCTCAGATCACCAAATCGGCACCCTGAAGACATTTCAGGTGCTCGTCCGCAAACTTCTCTAACCGTGACTCAACCCCAGTGGTCGGCCATCGCAAAGGCTTCTTGTACGCCTTGACACCCTTCGCCGGGATAGTCGCGTTGTCGAAAGGCTCCTTGAACGATCCGAAAACCAGCACGGGTGTCTCCATCGCCCGATTACCGCACCACAACTTGCCAGCCTTGCCGATGTTGCTCAGATCCTGCATCATGCCAACGTCATCCGCGGTGATGACCTTGGCGGCCTGCAAGGCGATCCTGAAGTCTGCGTTGCCGTAGTCAAGCTGACCCAGCGCTGGTCGCTCGCTGCGAGCCAACGCTTCTTGGCGGCGGCGCGCCTCGTACCGCTGGACGCTGGCGTAGCGGTTGAGGAAGCGTCGCTTGATGGTCAGAGCGCCACTTTCGGAGCCTCCAAAGAGTTGACTTGCACCTCTGCCTGGTGAGGGTGGCTGAGAGTGGAGAAGGCCCGTCAGTGGCTCCCAAGAAAAGGACGTTGTGGACCCATCAGCTGCAGTAGCGGACTGCTTGACGGTCTCTTCTACGTTGTAGAAGCGTGGCGCGATGGGTCCTTCAACGTAGCAAACGTGCTTCTTGACGGCCTGGGAGTTGGGCTTGCGCATGGCCGACTTCAGTACAGTCTTGGCCTTGCGTGATGCCTGCGCATCTGGCTTCCTTGCGGACCTCTTCGTGTTCGCACGGCTGACTCTGCGCGTCGACAACGAAACTGGAGCCAAGTTCCGCTTCGGGAGCGACTTGGCAACAGTGGTTGGCTTGTTCGGAGTCTTGCGCAGAGCTACCACCGGAGCGACCGGCTTGCGTGGCTTCGACGCCGTGGCGTCGCGATTCGATGATGATGTTGACGTTGTCTTCGAAGTAGTCATCTGTCGTTTCGTAGTCTTCTCGGAGACAACAACAGATTTTGGCTTGACAACAGGTAGCCGTGAAGCTGGAGCCTTCGCCGAATGTGGCCTTTCGACAAAAGCTAAAACTGGAAGTTGTTAGTTGTGAAAACGATTCAAAGAAGTTAAACTTACCTCCTTCACTGGCGTCCTGTGTCAGATGAGACTTAGTCGTCACCGCAGTCCTTGATCGCACGCGCTCTAGACCAACCGAATCACCGGTGTAGTCAGGGCAGCGAGACAGTCCAACGAACCAGTCCCGGTTAGTGCGCAGCCCCATACCGAGCCGCTTCATGCTGACCATCTTGCGTCCGAAGAGGTTCATGGCAGAAGTCTGCTGCTCAGGGCTGACGGAGTCGTCGAAGCTGTTGTCGTTGAACATGAGCGACGTGTTGTCCATGTCGTCGTCCGCGGGCTCGTTGATCTCCGACGCCGGCTCTTCAAACTCCATCGTAGGCCTCTCGGCCTCCTCATATAATTCTTCCTCATCAACCTCCGCCTCCGTAGTGGTCTCGGCAGCGAGTACCGTAATCTTACGCCGAATAACCACACTCGTCATCCTCGCCCAAAGCCTCGACTGCCTCCGTACACTAGTCTCTTTCACCGCCGTAATCATAGGCCTCGGGATACGCGTCTTACCAATCTTGCTATCCGCATTCTGCTTATAGTCAGCTCGAGCTCTAGCGAGTATCTTGGGTGCCCTTGGCGCCGAAGCGGTAGTCATTGTCCTTGACGCCAACACACGAGGTGTTGGCTTATTTTGCTTCGCCGCCACCGGAGTGACAGCTAGCCTTGTCCTTGAAGAAGTTGGTCGATGGAGCCGCTGGTACAGCGGCCTGACCGGGTTGGCAGTGACATTGGTGTTGACTGCAGCGCGGCGCATGTCGGGGACGCGGCGGGCAGGAGAGAGCGCATTCACGACTTTCTGGGTAGTAGCAATTTGCATTGTGACTAGTCTATGACGATGTGAGTGTCTGGAAATGAGAGAATGTGCAAAGGGTAGGGGGCTTACTCGAATGTGTGGATGTGGTGAGGAGGCAGAAGTCGGGTGGGATCAAAATATCATATGTGTGGGTTGCGGGCGCCGACGCGCGAGTTTGCTATGGCAACGAGAAAATTCTCTATATCTCGACAGAGATGGGATGAAATTGGTGTTGGAAGTATACGCCATTATCTGCATCTCGTTTTGCGACGACATAGTCGACATGCACTGCGTTCTCAAAGTCGCGTCGACGATGCAGACGCGCTAGAGCATCAGATCGCAACGCCCGATGCGCTGGGACCTGATCAATACTCACCCATTGGCTCAAAGACGTCAATTCATGAACACACTCGTCCAACGTAGACTTGCCAGGGCAAAGCGATAGTCAACATGTCCCGCATTCAAGCTTAAAATGCAGTGATGAGGCTAACGACTATCATGTGGATTTATTCAGATTGATTGCACTCATGCATCCTACATTACTACCTAACTAGCAGTAAGAACAACCTTCCCACCACTCAAGCCCTCCGCCTTCGCCTCAACTACAATCTCCCCACTAGCACCCGCCTCGCTCCTCACGATAGCCAGGGCCATTCCGCCAAACGCCTTCCTCTTCGTCTCCGGGAACGGGCTCATGTCTGTCGGATCACCGTTATCCGTAGCAACGACAACACCCGAGCCAGACGAGACCTCAAAGCTAATCTCATCATCCGCCATCGGAACCAAGACACCGTTCTCGTCATGCACGGAAACAGTGATGAATGAAAGATCATAGCCGTCACCAGTGATCGTTGTGCGATCGGCAGTTACGTTCAGCGACGCAGCAGAACCTGCTGTGAACTGAGATGCGGTAGCCCATTCGTTGCCGTCCTTGTATGCGACGACGCTGATGTTGCCGGGACGGTACTTCACACCATCCCAGCGGAGTCTGTAGTCGTACTTTCCCCTTGATTGACGGCCTGCGGAGATACCATTGACGAAGAGTTCTGCTTCGTCACCAGAAGTGTGAACATGTACGGGTGTGATCTCGCCGATGCAATCTTCGGGCCACGTCCAATGGGGGAGGATGTGGGCCATGGGTAGATCTGGTCTCCAGCGTGCTTGGTAGAGGTAGAAGCGATCTTTCTTGAAACCAGCCAAGTCGATGATACCGAAGTAGGAACTGCGGCTTGAGTTGTCGTATGGGGTGGGTTCACCGATGTAGTCAAATCCAGTCCAGACGAACTCACCAGCGACGTATGGATGTCTGTCTTGCTGTTCGAAGACTTTATCGGGTGATGCGGCCCATTCAGGTGCGTAGAGATCGTACGAAGACACAATGTTGTTCTCTGGGTCTCCGCCTTCGCCAGGTCCGCCGCCTACGATGGCGCTCTTGTTTGCGGTGATGGGGAAGAGGTATTTGCCGCGAGTGCTGAGTGCTGATGCAGATTCGGTGCTCCAGATCATCTTCTCGGGGAATTCTTGTTTGAAGCTGGGAAAGGTGCTCACCCAGGAGTCTCCTTTGCCTTCACCCTGATAGTTCAAACCAATGATGTCGATAACGGCTGCTATTCCAGTAGTGGCGTTAGCGTTGTTCATACCGATGGTCACTTGACGGGTAGGGTCTTCTTCGTGAGCTATGTCTTGGAGTGTTCTGCAAGTCTCGGTACCAGTAGAGTTCCTTTGTTCAGGAAGCTCGTTGCCAACACTCCATGAGATAATAGAGGGGTGGTTGCGATCACGGCGAATGAACGATCGGAGGTCAGGCTCGTGCCATTCTTGGAAGATGCGGTGGAAGTCGTTCTCCACCTTGGGAAAGTTCCAGGTATCGAAGATCTCATCCATGACCATGAGACCGTATCGATCGGCGAGATCAAGGAATTCGGGGGCAGGCGGGTTGTGAGACGTGCGAAGCGCGTTATTTCCCATCTCTTGTAAAATTTCAATCTGCCGTTCCGCAGCCCTGGTGTTGAAAGCTGCTCCGAGAGCGCCCAGATCATGATGATTGCAAGACCCTTGTACGTAGATGCGCTCACCGTTGATGAGGATACCTTGGCTCGGGTCGTATGTCACCGAGCGGATGCCAAATACGGTTTCATAGCTGTCCATAGGCTCTCCGCCGACTGATACGGTGGAGATAGCGACGTACTCGTTGGGCTTCTGGGTAGGTGGCGGTCCCCAAAGCTTTGGGTTTGGAACTGTTACCGAGCCATGTACTGCTTGTTTAGAATGGCCTGCAACGTCCGCGTTCGCTGCAGCAAATTTTGCGACAGCTTCACCAGTAGCTTGTTTGGTCGCCGCGTCGCGCTCGAAGACTTCGGTAACAACTTCAACACGTTGACTGCTGTTACCCTTGTTCTCCAGATCAAGGACCATCTCGACAGTAGCTTCCGCCTCCGAGATACTAGGAGTAGTGACGTAGGTTCCCCAATGTCCAACATGCACTGGGTTGACAGTGACAAGCCAAACATTACGGTAGATACCAGCGCCCGGGTACCAGCGCGATGAGTCGAGCTTGTTGTCCAGGCGAATAGCGAATGTGTTCTCTCCAGCCTTCGCGTAAGGAGTAAGATCCAGACGGAAAGAGTTGTAGCCGTATGGCCATCCACCAACAAGGTGACCATTCAGCCATACCGCAGCATACGACATAGCTCCATCGACATCCAGAAAGACAGATTTGCCAGATTGGAGGACTTCGGCATCCATGGAGAGCGTGCGGCGGTACCATCCGATTCCATTGATCGGCAAACGACCAAGACCTCCCTCAACGCCCGGAGCGTCGAATGTACCGGAGATAGCCCAGTCATGGGGCAGCGAGACAGCTTCCCACGCGGCATCGTCGAAGCTCGACTGAACATAGCTGACATTGGCGCCGGGAGCGGCACCAGATGGTCTCTCGTACTTTTCTCCAGTGATGAAGTCGTTCGCGCAAGGTAGCATCCACGGCTTCAAGCCCTCATAACTCAGGCCATCTGGATCCGAGGTGAAACGCTCAAATCGCCAGTCTGCGTTTAGCGAAGTGCGTTGACGGCCTGATGTTGTAGATCGTGGCTTAGACACCACATGAGCGGCTGCGGAGTCGAAGCAGATTGAGAATAAGAAGCCGAGGAGTAGGATGCTGTACGAGTTGTACAGCGCTCGCAAGGAACCCGTCATCCTGGTGGGTGGTGATATGTTGGGGAATATACCAACTTCAGAACTAGCTCATCTGATGGTTGATGGCACCGATGCTGTCACTAAGGATGAGCGATAAGCGTGAACGACGCAGACGGTAGATACACAGCTTACTTTGTACCCGAGCAGAACCATACGATAAGATAGAGCACACTACGGGTCATTTCCCTCCGTCCCATGCACACACTCCGTCATAAACGGAAGAAACATAATGGTCGGCCCGTCTGGGCAGTACATAAACCGCTGCCCGTAGAACGTTTTTCGCAGGACATTAGCCTACAGAGGTACTTCCCCGCCATGCAGCGTGCGGGGTGGCTGTCTCGGCGATACTTGGCCGTCGGCTTAAACTGTCTTTGCACAGAACGGATCCACTTGCCATGGTGAAGCTTCCGGATAAGTTGCGGAGGATGAAAATCACGGTGGTTCAGTGGTGAGCTTCGGTGGTAGTGACGTCGCGAGCTAAGCCGGATAAGGTCATCGGTCCGCTTGCTATCTCCGCACGGTCCCGCAAGCGGGGTCAGCGAGGTGCTTCACGCTGGGGGGTCGTGAGAAGGTGGTGATGATTCGAGTCTAAGATATATAACCACCATTTTCGAGCCAGTTAATGAAAGAACGGAAAAGTAAAGAGTCGAATGGGACGCCGACCAGGTACCCGAAATTCAAGAGATGAGGAGGCAACCATCGCATCGTAAGAGAGGACGAGAAGGAAAGTGTGAACAGCACTGCTAGGGAGGAAATTACCGGCGCATCTCCGCAACTTCACCACTAGAGGACTTCGACTCCTCAACTCGGTCCTTATAGTCGTTATGGCCAGTGTAAGGTTCAGCGACCATGGGCGCAGGAGTTCCGCCCACAGCAGCATACCTCTTGCGCCTACGGAAGAAGCTAGAACACGCCGAATTAGTATCTGTTTTCGTATCGCAATGCTCGCGAAAGGTCAGACTTACATAACAGCACCGATTATAGCAGCCAGGATAGGCAGAACTAAACCGACGCACACACCAATAATGACCTTGTTGCTGACACCTCCAGTCGAGCCATCAACAAGATCATGGACATCGTCGCTACCATCTTCGTCGGGTGGAGCGACATAAGGCGTCGGGCTACCGGTCATGGCCTTAATCGACTTGACTTGCGAACCGAACTTCTTAGTCGCTGGCACGTTTGTAAACACAGTCTCGGGAAACGTGGGAGTCTCGCCAGAAGGGACAGCTGTAACGAGGGACCGTGTGATCGTTGCTTTGGTGGAAACTTGCTCGTTGTTTGGACACATGGCTTTGTTCGTGGTCCTACAGCTCACACCCGTAGTAACAGTCGTGGTCGTCAGAGTGATGGTTTCGAGGTCTTCTCGCTTGTCGACTCCCGTGGGTGACGGTTCCACAGAGGGCTTGCTAGTAGCTTCGATGGCGCATGCCTCAGCAAGCGTTGTGGTGAAGATGGCTGTAGTTACACTTGCGACTGGACCCCAAGTCATGGCCTCAATGAAGGGCATATCGACCTCAATGGATGCTCCGGCCAAGGCACCCAGTGCAAGGTTGTACTCTTGGATGACCTTCAACTTGCAGTCGTCGTCATCAGGCACGTAAGTGATGTTCGTGACAAATTCCGCAACGTTCGCGAAAAGAGCGAGCTCCACACCCGCGGTTGCACTGACATTTGCGACATCCAGTAGCGTAGGTATATCAGGTTTGCCCACTTCAATGCCGCAGTGTACGCCGACTCGGAGTATAGCTGCAATAGAGGCGCTGGCGCTGACAATTGTGACGGGTAGGAACTCGAACTGACCACCGTTGCTGTCAAGAAGTTAGTAGAGAGTTACAACAATTTGGCGCCAGACGGAATGGTGTGGGGGTTAAGGGGTACTTACAAGACCATGTTTGAGACAGATTCACCGAACATGGCGATGTCCATCGCAACACCATCGTCAAGCTTGACGTGGAAACCGCTACTAATGTCGATCGCCCCATCCACTTTCAAGATGAGGTCAACTTGGAGCACCAAACCGAGCATGAGTGGGCCGACCTTCATGCCAACAGGAGTATTGGTAGCGTAGAGGTTGATTTCGTAAGCAGCTCCAGCGCTCAAGGCAGTTTCGATCTCTAGGTAAAACTCCATGCCATCGAATTGGAAGCGTAAGTTAGCTTCCTTGATCTCCGGCACAGTGATGTTGAAGTCGAAGGGGAATGTTGGGAAGGCAAAGTCCTCCGAGTCAAAGCCGTCCTGGACATTGATGTACACTCCACCGGCATAGTCGCTCAGATACTCCGTGAAATCATGGGCGAAGGCGAGGGTATCGTTCTTGATGTCGTCAACAACACCTTCGATCAGGTCGCTAGCATTGAAGTTGTCGCCAATTGTGAGTTCGGCCTTAGCAAGGCCTTTGACGTAGCAAGTCTGGCATGTGACTGTAATACCAGCCTTGATCTCTGAATTCGTGGTTCTGTTGTTCTCAGGAAGTTGACTAGACGCCTCGCTGTAGAGCAAACGTTAGCTTCATGCAACGTCGGAGCCACGAGATGAGTTCGGCGGGGTACCTACACCGACAGCAGGGTGGCGCCGCTCCAGCTCCTCTCCAGAGGTAGCTCAGCTGTGAAGTCTTGACGTTTCTGTAGGCCAGCTACGGCGAGCCCTCGCCGAATCGCATGCCATGTATCCTCGGTAGTGGTGCCAGGAGTATTGCGAACCTGTACCGCAGACTCGAGCGATGCGGCTACAGCACCAGCCCATGCGATTGCACATGACAGGAGAAGGACGCGAAGAGAAGCCATTGAAGCGATGAATCAAAAGGCCCGAGACTGGAGCAAAATCAGGCTGAAATGGAACGAAAGAAGATGGTCAGACACCAAGATTTGTTACAATCGACATGAGACCAAACCTACTCACTTATACACCACCCTCCCTCACCCCACCACAGTACATCCGGGTATGTACCATCAGACGGCACGAGGCTTTGCGGCGTGGCACAACCGGGGGCCGAATATGCGGGATGCAACCGAAAATGCTTCAGTACACTGCTTCGCCACCAGCACCATACCAGAACCGGCGATACTGTAAGGAAGAGCATCCTTCGGACTTACATCGACTAGGCTCTGGTACATCTGCGACGGTAATCGTGACCTACTTTGTACTTTGTGTGTGTGTCTCCCGGTAATAAGACATGCAGGCTACGATACATTCCCCGGTAGATTGGGGGAGGACTATGAGTGGTAGGGACGGTAAGCAGGGTGTTATTGGAGTACTGAGGGGAGTAGAGAGAAGGCAGATCCAAAGCCAAGGAGTGGATACGAGAAGTGTATGCATCTCGCCGTTGTGGTGAGACTGTGGATGTACTCAGACTGCGCTCTCAACCTCAGCCTTGCGGCCTTGACTTCGCAGATACGATCAAGCAGTGCCGGTATGCGGAAATGTCTCGGCCCCATCATGATGGCCCCCATGAAGAGACCGAACCCGTGGGGAGATAAGCAAGGCTGGCGCAGATAGTATCCGTATACTATTTATGGGCATACACATCCACGGAGTCGAAATATCTAAGCCTTCCAAAAGATATAGGCTGAGCGACTTACTACACCTACCCCGCAGCGAGTAGCTGAGAGGCGTCGCTGTGATGGTTGCTGTTCCCCTGGCAAGCGATGCAGCGCTTTGCGGCGCAGTAGATGCATGGCACATATTTTCAGAACACTGCAGCGAGTGAGTGACCCCGCAGTGTTTCGAGTTGAAAGCCATGCAGAATCGCAGCCTCTACTAGGTTGTCGTGTGTGCATCTCTCATGCTTGGAGACTGCGGCGTGCAGGGACGGGCGAATCAGAGGTTAGAGCTGGCTTTAGCCGTATCTTCCAGAATGTTGATCTCCAGGTGCTTTGTCGTTGGATGTAGTGCTACATGACAGTACCTAGGTACGCTGTTCTCCGATGTCGATGGGTGCTGCGCAAGGGGTGTCGAAGTACTTTGCTGTTGCTGCCTTTAGGCGCCCGCATGATGCTTTACAAGGTGGGAGGGCATCGGTAAAGCCTGATGCATCTGCGAAGCTGTGCGATTCTGCGAGACGAAATGAAAATGACAACAAGACGGCGATTACATAGGAGTTGCAGAATGGGCGGAGCGCAGCTTCCCCAGACCCGCGTGGGCACGCGTGAACCCGCCCATTGACGCTAGCCCCATTCCTTCAGGGTCCCTTGGCGCCCGAACGTCACTCGGGGCCATGGCAAGTCGCGTATGAAGGCTGCCAGACGATCCCGAGACCGCCTCGAAGACACTCTCAGCACCCAGCAAGCCCGAGAAAGAAGCCTTTTACACTCCGTATTGACGCGACCGCACGCACCTTGACAAACAACCGTCCCAACCCCAAAAGCCCACGAAACTCAGGCCGGCGCCTCCAACAACCCGCAACGATGTCGCAAGCCTACGAGCGCGAACAACAGAACAATTCCCGCCTCGATGAACTCGCCTCGAAAGTTTCTGCGCTGCGGGGCGTGACGATAGATATCTACGATAATGCGCGCGATCAACATGTCATCGACAGCACAGTACGTTACCTGCGCATCTCCTGCGCATTCACGCAACGTCTTCCGTCACATCACTTCCATTCTCTACATAAGCCTCTATTCCCATGAACAGTCCAACAAGGAGCACGCCCTTCACGGAATTCCACCCCCATATGTCCCTGCAATACCCCCTGATCCGTCCTGGTAATGGTCCAACAAGCCGCCTCTATCTCGACTTTCAACACCCACTACACGCCCGCTAACATCTTATGCTATAGAGCGACACCTTCTCCTCCTTCGGCACATCACTCAAAGGATCCGCTACACGCCTCACACGCATGGCTTCATCGGGGAACAAAGTCGCGATTCTGAAGTTGGCGGGGATAATAATAGGGACGGTGGTGGTGTTGTATTGGATTTGGCATTTGATCTTTTGAGGAAAGGTAGAGTGCGTGAAGATGGGAGTTTATACAGGAACATGTCACAGGATGGTCGCGGTGCGACGTCGCGGGAAAAGGCTGGGAGAGGGCATAAGGTTGAGAACGCAGGCGACAACATGGGAATGCTGGCAAAGGTTACGGGATGGGCAGGCAGGAATTACGTGTCACAGAGGGCACGGCACGGGTCATATGCATATCTGGTGTTTTGGGGGCATGTCTATTGTGGTTTCGATTCAGCGGTCTATAAACATCATACTATGTACATTACACTCCATCCAGAGCCGCATCTTGTTTCACGCTCTGAAGGATACGAATTAAAGTACGTGTAGCATGCAATCACCGATCCAATACACCACTTCTATTCCCAAACATTCGAGAAGAGATCATCGCTACCACCACCGAATCCTCCTGCAGGCTTACTTTGAGTGGTCGTGGTGTGAGTTGTAGTAGTCGTCTGCGTGGTTGTGGTAGGTGCGGCACTGCTCCAACCACCGAAATCGTCGTCTTGGGTTACTTGTGGAGCGCCCCAGCCGGGGGTTGTAGGCTGAGCGTGTGATGTTGTGGATGGAGCCGCGGGCTGGCTAGGGGCAGAAGAACCCCAGACGTCGTTGCTACCCCATGCGTCCATGTTCGAGAACCCTGAGTAGTTTACGGTCGCAGGGGCGGGCGCAGCTTTGGGAGCGGGTGCTGGTGCTGGTGAAGACAGATTGAATGCTGAGCTCGCTTGTGGCGATGCGAGTGGTGGGGAAGTGACCCTTGGTGCAGGCGCCGGTGCAGAGGGCATAGACAGGTCCAAAAGGTCGTTCATGCCGCTTGCTGCAGGAGCTGCAGGCTTGGATGGGGCGGGAGAAGAGAAAGCGCTGAAGTCAGCCATACCGCCCGACGGACTCATTGTGCGGCTCTGCGATTGGGTCTGGGGAGCAGGCTTGGAATCAAAGAAGTTGCCGCCACCACCAAACATGTTGGAGGAAGAGGTTGAAGGCGGTGACTTTGCGCTGGAGAAGCTGTCGAGGCCGGAGAAAGGTGAGGGTTTAGCTGCTGGGGCAGGGTTGAAAGACAGACTGCTAAAGGCATCGTTCATGCCACCAAAGGCCGACTGTTGGGGCGATTGCTGGCCTTGGGGCGACGCCAGTCCGCCGAATGAGTCTTGACGTGCATGCTGCTGGGGCTGGGGTGGTGCGGCAGGCTTGGAAGCGTATAGCGATAAGATGGACTGCTTGAGATCTGGTCTGGACGGCGCTGCTGCAGCAGGACCTGTGCTAGATGGACGAGATGGTGCCGCAGAAGACGACCCGCCGAGGAAGTCCAATCCCAACAACGAATCGCCTGCCTTGTTCTGTTTCGGTGGGGCTGTCTCTGCCTTGGGAGGCCCTCTGGCTGCAATCGGGGGTCCGGTGCTCGGTCGCTGAGGAACGGGGTCGTCGCCGAAAAGGTCGATGGTTGGCGACGGCTGTGCTTGTCGCGGGGGAGGGGGAGGCTGGCTGGAGCTCTGAGCTAGGCGTTGCGATGCGGAGCGTTCTATTTGGACCTTCTCCTGAACCTTCTTCAATGGCTATACTTTGTTAGTTGCTATCCCGTGCAGCTAGCCTGGCCACTCACAATATCGTCATCGTCCGCCTCTAAAGTCGAGGGATCGGGCATAGGTCCCTCCATGACCCATCGCTTCGACTCGTACTTTGTGCGAATGAAGTTCTCAATCTTTGCCTCGGACGGCACATGGCCAGGCGCCAGTTTCGACTCCCAGTACTTGTTCGCTCGCGCATTGCCCCATTTCAGCACGCTCTGGAGTTGCTCGTCGGTCCAGGTATCGAGGTCGACCGACTTGACTTTGCTGATATGTGTTCCCATGCCACGGTGGATGCCCGAGCACCGAATGCAGATGAAGACGCCCAAGTTCCAGCTGGCCCATCGTGGGTCTGCGGTAGCTGTCAGTAAAGGCGCATTATTCTGAAATTCTGTATAACTCACGCTTGTTCCTCTTGCAGTCGGAGCATGTCTTGTTGCCCTCGAGCTTCACCAAGTTCTTGAGCGTGGCGCGATTCTGTTCCGCCCGATCAGCGGCAGGGTTGGGCCGTCGCGACATTGTGGGGTAGGATGCCGTGTGCGGAGTTCGTGTTGGGGGTGCCGAGTCGTATTTCAACGCGTGTGTCTAAGAAAGAGCAGTAACTCGCGAGGGCACGTGTCAGTCGAGAGTGGAAGTGGGTGAGTGGGGTTAGGTTGTCTCATTCGTGCCTGAAGCGTTTGGTTTCTCACCAATGACGCTCGCCTTGGCACTCGATACCGCCATCTCACATGTCAGGGGTTTGGTTTGGGCTGCAAGTCGTTCGAAGTGTTGGAAAAGCAAGATAGATAATTGTCTCTATGTGATGTCGTATTTGTATGACAAGGACAACCCTGCTTGGACTGAACGCATTGCTGCTTGGAAACGCCTCCCCGGGTATCACAATGGTGTAATGCTACAATATAGTACATGCGCTGACCACCAGAAAGCCTGTTATATGCAATGTAGTTGAAGAAATCAAGCGGGACGGAACCTCCAGTCGTCCCAGTCTTCGTCGTCGGACTCGCTCTCGCCATCTTCTTCGACGGCTTGAGGCGCTGGCGCAACGCTCTCTGCCTCGACTGGTGCTCCAGACTTGGATCGCAATGCTTCCCTCTGTTCCCGTAGCCGCTTCACCCTCTCTTCAAGGCCTTCCATCTCCTCGAATTCGTCTTCGAGCGCCCGCGCAGCATCCTCTTTCTCGCCCTCCATCTCCTCGTCCCTCCTTGCGCGTTGTGCACTCTGGTCTTCTCGTGCTTGTGCGGCGATCTGGGCGGCTGTCATGGGCGCGGCCTCGATGACAGCGCCCGAGTAGGCGGATCTCTTGGGCGGTGGTGACATGGGCTTCTCGGCGTTCATCTCGTTCAGGAAGGCATCGAGCTCTGCTTGGGCTGTGGGATCGAGTTGGGGCTCAGGCGCCTTGGGTGCCTCTGGGGGCTGGGTATCTGGTGTTGGCGCGCTTTTCTGGTCTGCAGGTGCCGGCGCGGCTTCCTCTCCATCCTTTGCAGCTCCAGCATCGAAGAAGCCCGCTGGTACACCAGCCTCCTCCTCGGTTCGCGTGCGTTTCCTCTCCTCCACTGTCTCGTCTGTAGCCTTGCGCTTTTTCGACGCGGGTGCCGTCGCAGGAGCTGCCGATTGCTTTTGGGGCTTTTGCGCCTGCTGCCGTGCTGCGCGCTGTTGTCGCAAAAGAGCTCGTGCGTCGGCCATGGTGATGCAGGTGGTTCTTGCTCTTTTGGAAATATGGGTCGTCGTGTAGGTGCCTATAGTGTGCGATTCCGCCAGTGTCCTTGTTCTTGTTGAGACTGGCTGGCGCTGCTCCCAGTAGCTCTGACGCCAGCCGCGCAAAGGGTCCACAGCTCGCTAGTGGCCAGGATTACGGCAGCCAAGGCGTCGGCAAAACGCTGTGTCAAAGCTCCACCTCCTCACTGACACCACTCAGTCCGACACCACACGACACATTGCGACTCCCACTGGCAACCCGCACCCGCCCACTGCTGTCTTCTAGTGCGCTCACGACCCAGCGCATGTATTGAGCTTCCATCCCTCGCGGCTGACATCTCTTTTGCGCCCACACACCGCGCGGCACCGGCTCCGCATTCGGCAGGTACGCGCAAGAGGCAGTTGCGACTCATAACCGGCAGTCGCACAACGCATCGCGCCTTCTGTCTGTGCAGTTGGGCAGGAGCGCTCGCTCGCGCTCGTTTACTAGTTAGAGGCGGCTCCATACTTGGTGTCCGTCTGTCCGCAGTGCGACGCGCGTAAGGCAGGATTGGGGCTTCCGTAGAGACTTTTTGAATCTTGTTCCGCAATAGCATAAGCTGCACTCGTGGTATCGTCTATATTGAGCCCATCACCCGTGTCCGACACCATGGCCGGTAAGCAGACACCATCTACGCGCATCCGTCGCATCAAGCCACTGAGTCGCGCCCCTCATGGCACCCGCACCACCACGCGCACGCGCACCCCCAACCCTCACACTGATGCTGATATTGCCACTGCAGACGAGATCCGCCGCTCCGGCCGTGCCAACAAGGGCCACCACACCAAGAACGCAGATTCCCTCGACGAGCCCTCCCCCGCTCCCAAGGCCAAGGCGCCACCAGTTCCGGAGAAGAAGGGACAGGCGCAAAGCAAGAAGGGACAAGCAAAGGCTCAGTCACAGCGCGCGCAGTCGACGCAGTCCTCCCAGCAAGATGAGGAAGAGGAGGACGCCATCATCCGCTGCGTCTGCGGCGACCAGCGCGACATCCGCGGACGCCAGATGATCTGCTGCGACAGCTGCGAAGCCTGGCAACACAACAAGTGCCTCGGCCTTCCCGAGGGCGACTTCTGGGAGGGCAAGAACTACTACTGCGAGCAATGCAAGCCCGAAGACCACACCGAGCTGCTCGCTGCCATGGCGCGTGGAGAGAGACCGTGGGCGCGCAAGAAGGGCTCCAAGCCCAAGCCCCGCCCCAGCGACGTCAAGCAGGAGGCCGTCTCCGAGAAGGCCAGCACGCCTCAGCAGTCGGCCACGCCCTCACAAACCGCTCAGGCCCCAGCCGAGGCTCCCACGCCCACGCCTGCCCCCCTCACTGTGCCTACACCAGAGGCCTCCAACGGACATGCAGAGTCAAAGGTGTGTCATTGTACACTAAACAAACTGTCGCACGCTCACACCTGTAAACAGGAGACGAGTCAGCCACAATCGCCACTTGGTGAGAAGCGTCGCCATGAGCCTGCCACTGAAAAGGCCAACGCGAGCAAGAAGCGCAGAAAGTCCAGCCACCACGAGAGCAAGCCTACCCCCCAGTCGGCCCCAGTCGGCGACATCGACTCGCTCCCGCAAAACCAAAAGGCTGTGGCAGAGAAGCTTCGGGACACACTTGCACCGTTGATCAGCACCGCCTCGGAGACCAGGGCTTTCCGCATACCGGATGGACAGACTGCCAAATCCCTCGCCACCAAGTACACCCTCGAAATGAGCCATGCCGCTTTCAACCTCTACGGCGAACCTACTGGATCGTCTTCGCCATACTTCACCAAGATTCGTACCATCATGTTCAATGTCAAGAAGAACACGGTGCTTGTGGATCGCCTCCTCTCTGGAAGCTTGAAAGCTGATGATCTAGTCAGTATGGAGGCTGGAGAGATGGCGAGCGAGGACAAGCAACGTGAATACGCCGCCATGCGCGAAGCAGCCGAGAAGCAGATGATCCTAACCGAGGAGGCCGGACCGCGACTACGCAAGACACACAAGGGCGAGGAGATTGTCGGCGAAGACAACTTCGAGAACGACCATGACGACTTTAAGCAGCCCACACTCCGCGAACGAGAGAGCATCACAGAGGACACTGCGATGCAGTCACCATCCGGAACACGCCCTCCAGAGAGTCCCGCAGGTGTATCACGAAGACCTACAGAGATTGACACGGCCCAGTCTGAGCACGCGCGACGAGCATCGGCCAACTTCGACATCAACTCTGTCTTCGACAAAGTTCGATCGCCACAGCATGATCAGCAGGCCTTCCTACAGCGCCGCCAAAGCTCAATGCACATGCAAGACAAGCCTCCGGCTGCAGTTGATGACGCCGACGTCGACCGTTTGCTCAAAGACGAAGACAATGATGTTGAGATGTCAGGATACTCCTCGGACCCGACTGTTTGCTGGCAGGGCTCCATCAACATGCAGTCAATGGAGCCTTTCGATGCGGTCGCTAGATTCGTCGCTGGTGGTGACTTCGGCCAGATCGTGCCATGGGAGAAGCTGCTGACCAACACTGTGGCGATCCAAGGTCGCATCGAAAGCGCAAAGGGAAACGACTACATCCAGAACATTGGTCACACCGAGAGCCATGAAGTTTCCATCCTGGCCGTCAGCCCTGTTACAACGGATGGACGCACCATCATGGACCATCTGTATGAGTACTTCCACTCACGGGGCAGATGGGGAGTGGTACCTGTCGAAGACAATGACATCCTGCGCGACCTCTACGTCATCCCCATTGAGGAGGGCGGCAGCAACCTCCCTCCTTTCATCGACATGCTCGAGTACTGCACTATCGAGACCCCTCGCAAGGAACACATGTTAATCCTAGCCATGGTTGCCAAGCTTCCCGAGATCAAGCCTCAGCTTCCACCTACCCAACACTTCGAGCGATACCCAGAACAAGAGATTGCAACTGGTCAAGTCGCCCCGCCTGTTCTCAACAACGGCCCATCGCCGCTTAGCAACCCTCACGCACCTCAGTTCTCGCCTGTCAGTGCTGCCTACCCATCAGGCCAATACGGCAACCCGTTCGCCGCACCGCCTGCAAACATGGTCCCAGTCCAACAACCCACGCCACCCGTTAACGGCCCGCCGCATCACCAGATCCCCAAGGCACTTGAGATTCTCGGTCCATATATCGATGCGCCAGTCATTGTCACGATCTTGGGATCTAGTTTGTCCCAAAACTCTGTAGTCTCGGAACTGCAGATGATCAACCTGAGGCATATCGTCGAAACGGTACCGGAAGCACGCGACAACATCACAGTTCTCACGAACCACCTCCGCTCGAAGACCGAGTCGAATGGCCAACAGCAGGTACAGCCATCTGGGGCCCCGTAGGTAAGGGTATCAGGAGCGCTGGCCTCTTTGCGCATTCACAAGCGCTGAATTCGAGAGGAGGAGCGGGGGTTTTCAGGTTCGGTGTTTTGAGGCGCTTGGATGGATGTACAGGGTTTCTTGTAACAAGGCAGGGCGAGGCCGGTATGCGGAAGTGTGGGCGGCGCTCTCTTTCTCTTGTATTTGATACCCACATGTGGTGTACCCTGTTTGTCCCATGCGATGAGGCAGAGACGGTTTCTGCCATCCATTTACCTCATTGTTTACGTGTACGCTCATTGCTTCTTTCTGTTCCAAAATACACATACTGTTTCGTTCAAAATGATGGCTCCTCGCACTGCTTTGTGTAACCTGGCTAGCTGATGGTGGTAGTGCATGCTATGCGGTGTCAGGCCTCCAGCTAAGCCTTTTTTCATCAAGTGATCTCTTGAGGCCATGCGGTAAGCGAGATTGACAGTTCGCTGTAATCTACGGTTTTCTGGCTTTTTTGACTTTTCTTACTATATGTAGTAATGCAACAACCCCTCCTTCGTCTACCCTTGTCCAACTCATACTCTCATCGGTGACGAACCTTAATCCTCGCCCCGTTCACCGGCATATCTGCAGGTAGACTCCCACACACAGGCATCATACCTAGGTACCTACCTACCTGGGTACACAGGAATGCGCAAATCACCCCTCTTCGTGACCATGACGCGGCATGCAGAAGGGTGGATAAGGTGCATTTCCGCATCCCCGATGTCTTTATATGCAACTGCAATCTACACTCTTCCCTCGACCTACTCGATACAGTGCGTTGAGCTTCTTGGCACCGGAATGGCGCATATGCGGGTTGTGTCCATGCCACATCCATAGATCCATACCTTTGCGTCAAGTTACTGCTTCCGGTATATTGAGTGTGTTGGCACGGGGTGTAACGTGTGATGCAACGGAGGTGCGCGCATGCATGCTGTGTGACTCTTGCTTTGACTAGGTAGATTGATGCCTAATTATGCCGGCTGTGCATGGCTCGCAGGAGGATCTAGGATCAACAGTATACTTAGAAGTTACTGAATGTAGTAGAGTTGGCGGGGTAGGGACGGGAGGGACAGACGCTGTATAACTGTTGCGTGACAATTGACGTGGACGAACTGCAGGACCTACGATCAACACTCACTTGGAAATTGCTGTGTTGAGTAGAATTGGCGGGGTAGTGACAATTGCACATGTCGTGTTAGTGACATGCTGCGGTGTTCCGTGCCCAGGTGGTGCCCAGGTGTGGAACGCAGGCATCGACACGCGGCTACGATGTTGCTCGAAACGGTATGTTGAATGTGTTGAGGGAGCACAAACAGAGGAGGAAAACGCGGTGTCACACCCTGGGAATCAACAGTCAACTGAGAACTTACTAGATACAGTAGTTTCTCATCTGCAGCTTGCTGGTCTGGAGCGGGCAAGGTGGTACTAGGAGGGCACAGCAGTTGAGAAGACTTGTCGTACTCATGCAAGCACGCCGACCTGGACATGCATAGTGTCACGCTGTAATCAATGGCAAGTCATAAACTTTCCAGATGAGGTATCTTCGCAGCTGCAGCTCGAAGTTCTGAAGCGGACAAGGAGGAACAGGGAGGTACGGAAGACCGGAAGTGATGCAGTGCATAAAGAACTTGGTGCGGGCATCTGTCTGTAATCGATGGCCAACCGTGAACTTTCTACATGAAGTATCTTTTCGAATGCAGCTCGCTGGTTCAGAACATTGCACGGTGAGACCAATACTTCCAAGGTTCACAGAAGAAGTACAAACGAGAGGCAACCTAGACCCGAGGTCTCGGGTCGTCACCTCGTGGCCCTTACTTCACTCGCGGCCACCGCGATCAACAGCTCCCTCACAAACATACCTATCCGAGTAACCCAGCCCTGTCTGGCGGCCGCCATTGGCTCCACAGGGCCAGTGCCCTTCCTGTGGGTGGAATCGACGGTTTTTGCAAACCTTCCCAACGGGGTCGCCAGCCCTGCCTCGCACTTGCGATTGGCCCTGTAGGGCCAGTAGCGGCTCCACACTGCCCTGTTTGCCAAGACTGCCGTGATCTACGACCGCTCGCGCGAATTACCGCATGCGGTGCCTATCCCTGCCGGCGACGTTGCAATTGGTTCCACAGGGCTGGGAGCCCCGCAGTGCCCTTTCTGCCGCGATCGATGGTCTCTGAGTAGTTGCCTAACGGGGAAAGCCGTTCTAGCGCCAGAATTGCGATTGGCTCGCAAGCGTCTCGCCGGTGTCCCACGCACGGGAGAGTGACCGGCAGGCGTATGTTGACATGTGCGATGCCAACGCAGCACCATACAGTTTACGCATCGTACTTCGCACTTCGCATGCAGGGAAGCGGATCAAGACGCAAATAGCGGAAGATCAGTATCGCATCTAGACTCCTTCGACGCCGTTCCGCCTGGAGCGCTCAGCTCGAGTGTCTGCGGATCCATGTATCCACGTAACGTATTCCTCCTCTTAGAGATGTCTAGGGAAGGCCTCATCATCTGCGCAAGAGTCGGGAGCAATACGATGAACCGAGTTAGACTCCCAGCAAATGACAGAAACAGAATGAGAAAGAGAATAAGAACGAGACCGAGATTCAAGGCCCTCGCGTCATCGTCATGAGCCGTTATTCCAACCTACACTACACCCACTAGCACCCTCATACGCACTGCTCGAGCAGAACCCCCCCAACGCGAACGCGAGACTGTCATCGACACCTCCTCCAGCAACTACCGCATGCAGTCGTTTCGTATTCGTAGAAGAAACAACGCAGCTAAAGCAAAACCACCGACCGCGAACAACCGCACACACCGATGTTGCGCGGCACCTTCCCTTAGCGTAGTCCTCATGTAATCAGTAATCGGGAGCCAAAGCGAAAGCGAGCCTGGGCACGGTTCCTTGTAAGACACCCGCTCCTACCACACGAGACTCGCGAACAAACCAACGCACTGGTACGCTACTCCTTCCTTTATCTCAACTCCCGGATACGAAGATAGGGTTTTTGGCGGAAGGGAATGCGAATGCGGTGCTGTGATCAATGGATTACTTGTTTGGGGAGGTCTTGGAGGTAAGGCACTGTAGGTTAAGGTGTGGAGAATGAGGCTATGGCGTGGGATTTCGGATGATTACTTATTTTTCTTGGAGGTAACGTGTCGGTGGATACAGGGGTTACCCACGGCGGAAGGATGCGAATCCGATGCTGGAATCGATGGATGGGCGCGAAATTACTATAGTTGGGCAGTTGGGAAGACGAGATTAGTGATAGAGAGTTATTGTCCCTGCGGCGATCGAGGGATCATGGATGTAAGGTTGATATCGCCAAGGAAGGTTTGAGTATGAGTACGGTGGAGACGTGGGAAGGATCCGAAAGCGAGAACTCTGATTGGAACCGTGACTCCGAATGAGAATGAGAAACAGAACGAGAGGCTGTGATCGATAGCATTCAAGATAACTTTCCCATCGCGGTAAGCAGTGACGCCGTAGAACGCGAGCACGAGAACACTAAGACCAACTCACGAAAAGCGAGATACCTCTCGTAAACACGAGCATAGGCCAAGACAAAGTATCGCCGTGAATACATGCAACCTCCACTCAGGTCCCACCTGCATCCCATCTCATCTCATCTCACCCGATCTCTGCCGTCCCCACTCACTCCACTCAGCCCGACACCAAGACCGACATTTCTGATGAATAGAATGACGGGATTAACGTCGCCAGTCCCAATCAACACGCTCTCACGGAACAGCGAAAATACTGAGATTATAGTGTATCTTGAAATTCAAAAGCGAACATCGAAAGAACGTCTTCCGACAATTCTACAAGTCTTTCATTACTACGGATACGTATGGAAAATCAAATAACCACCGTGCCATCAGCAACACCGACATCAACCCGAGGCTCAGAAATGTATATAGAACAACCGTTACCTACTCTGAATCAGTAACTCGTCAGGATGATTTGTTCATTGTCCTTTTCATCACCGCCTCGCTCACACCCAGACCGAAAAGAATCCGATGGAGAAATGCTTTCGAAGAAATATATCCTCCATCAAACTCTTTCATATCCCATCAAGTCTTGAAGACGATTAAACCACCAGTAGGGGTTATGTCGCATTCAACGCTTTTTTCGGGACTACTCTTGTAGGGGGGACAAGGGGTAGGAAGAGCCAAACATCAATTCATACATCTCTCACGAGGAGGATGTTTGGGTCTGGGGTGATGGGAAGAGTAGTTGGAGGAAGGAGAAGGGGAGCTGGAGGGGATTATATACGTGGTGCAGGATGTGCATGGGCGTGGGTGAGCATGTGGGGATGAGACTTACGCGGACGTATGATGAAGAGGGGGATTGTAAGGCGTACCACCGGTAGACTGACTGCGGAACCAAACTCTGAAAACCCTCAATATGCAAGTATTATCTTGATAACATCGATGTAAGTTGAAGTTCAGCATATGTATTACGTGCATGGGTATCTACTCTTTCAGATAACTCTTCAAGCCCTCTTTCCCTACATTCATCGCTCGCTCAATCTCGGCTTCTTCTTCGCGTAACCTGCCTTTCCCATAGGCTAGATCGCGCTCTTGCTTTCTCTTCTCCTCACGAACACGCCTCTCGCGGTCTGCGAGCGCTTTCTCGCGTCGTTCGCGCTCGGCCCACTTCTTCGCGCGTTCTGCTTCTTCTTCGGCGGAGTAGACGACGCCTTCAGGTGCGGGTGGTAGTGTGGAGATGTATGTGTTGATGAGGCCTTCGCGTGTCGATGGTGGGAGAGAGATGTAGCAGAGATCGCTTAGTACGGCGGAGGGTAGGGTATCGATGGTTGTAGAGCGGTTGAGGAGCGCGAGAGGCTGAGCCCGCAAGAGCGCCGACAGATCGGATTTCAGGGCGGACGATCGCATGGCCAGACGCTTGATGTGGTCGCGGTATAGCTTCTCTTTGTCTTTGTCTGGGAGCTTGGTATCCTTGAGCTCAGGTTCTTTCTTGTATTTCCGGCGAAACTCTGGCCAGTAGAGCTTTGGTGTTGCATGTTTGTCGAGGAAGGCCAGGTACGGTATCCGAGGGTCTCGTTTCGCTTGCCGGGCTTTCTCTTCCTTGAGGAACTGGGCTTTATCTCGCGACCATTCGTTGAAGCATTCTTTACGCGCTGCCATGTTCGGGAGAGCCTTGTATCGGTCGTCGTCAAATAACACACCGTCCTCTATAATCTTGTCCCAGGGTGCAAATGGGCTGACTTTGGTATCCTCGAGGAGCTCCTTGAACAGCGCTTTGCAGTCTTCTTCGGACAAAGCAGGCTCCTCCTCGTCGAATTGATCGTCGTAGCCCTGATCCATCTCCATCTCCTCCATTTGTGCCAGTTGCCATGCAAGATCATCGTCTTCCTCGGGTTGTGGGTCTCCAGACGGTTCTTCGGTGCGCTGTCGTTTCTGTGCATGCCCTGACGCCTCACCCTCATCGTCCGTGACCTCCACCTCTTCATACTCCTCATCGTTCTCCATACCCTCCTCGCCGTCCACTTCGACTATCTCTACCTCCTCTTCCGCTTCTGCCAGCTCCGCCTCGATCTCAGCCATAGCATCGTTCTCCTCTTCCACATCGCTTGGCTCGCCCCGTTCCCTGCGTTCCTTCTTTTCGCGCTCCTTCCGATCGAACTCGACAACGGCAGTCATGACATTGGGCGGGAACTTCCAGAAACTCTCATTCGTGTCCTTGTTCCACACAAAACGTCGTCCGAACTTTGTCTTGACCAGAACCCATGGCGCGCAGTTTGGTATGTCCTGGCGATGCTTTGGCCTATCATCGCGGTCTCTTCTTCGGTCGTTGAAGCTGTTCTGCCCTCCGCGCATCCCTCCACGATGCCCACCTCTTGCTTGTTGATGCGCCCCGCCATGTTTGGGGAATTGCTTCGGCGCGCTCGCGAAGATGAAGTCGTTGATTGAAGGCTGAGGCTGGGAGGCAGTTTGCGCTGTCTGACTATCGTGGCCAAGGCCGTAATTCGAAGGCGCGTTGTAGGGTGCGGGTGCAGGTGGCGGCGTTGGATTATGGTATTGCGGAACCTCTGCAACAGGTCGCGTATATGTCGACTTATTTAATTCGGCATTGTAGTAGTACGAGTGGCCTGTGATGTTAGCGGAAGCATATGACGCAAGTAGGAGCTGTAGCTACCTGAGGGCGCCTTGTGCTCTGTCCAGCCTGGGGGAAGCGGTGCAGCTGGTGCAGGCGGTCGCACCGGTATGTCCGACATTGTGATGTCGCGTGCAGCTAGGAATTGAAGCTATTCAAGTCTTGCGAAAAGAGTTGGTGATGGGAAAGTTGGTGTTGCGCGCGCGATCCAAAAACTGGTCGGCGCCAAGCAGCCTGAATCGCCGACGCGCTGCGTAGGAGCTTGTGCCTGGAGCTCTCATCAACACCAGCCCACGCCCCGACTTCCCCGCCGCCCTCTCCCTCGCCCACTGCTGTCTACACCCCCAATACCACCCAGACCGCCAGAGTAGACCGCCATCATGTCACGGAGATACGACTCCAGGGTACGATATACCCGCAACCACGGCCAGGACACTGCTAACGGTGCATAGACGACCATCTTCTCCCCCGAAGGTCGCCTCTACCAAGTCGAATATGCCCTCGAAGCCATCTCGCACGCCGGAACAGCGCTAGGTATCTTGGCCCAGGATGGCATCGTGCTCGCCGCAGAGAGGAAGGTCACCAGCAAGTTGTTGGAGCAAGACACATCGGCCGAGAAGCTGTACATCTTGAACGAGTGCGTGGACCGTCAACATCTTAATATCATGACTAATGTCCTTTCAGTAACATGATCTGCGCCGTAGCAGGAATGACCGCCGACGCCAACATCCTCATCAACTACGCCCGTCAAAACGCCCAACGCTACCTCCTCACCTACAACGAAGATATTCCCTGCGAGCAGCTTGTCCGCCGCTTATGCGATCTCAAGCAGGGTTACACGCAGCACGGAGGTCTCCGACCGTTCGGTGTGTCATTCATCTACGCAGGATGGGACCCCCAGCGCCAGTTCCAGCTCTACCAGAGTAACCCCAGTGGCAACTACGGCGGCTGGAAGGCTACCAGTGTCGGCGCGAACAACGCCTCTGCGCAGAGCTTGTTGAAGCAGGACTACAAGGAGGAGTGCGATCTGAAGGAAGCGTGCGGGCTTGCAGTCAAGGTGCTCAGCAAGACCATGGACTCGACTAAGCTGAGCAGCGAGAAGAGTACGTTCATCATCTCACTACTATTTCGGGAGAGTACTAACAATGCATAGTTGAATTTGCGACAGTAGGAAGGACAAAGGAGGGCAAGATCTACCACCACCTGTGGGGAGCGGACGAGATCGATGCTCTGCTGAAGGAGCACGGCCTGGCCAAGGCTGAGGACACCGAGATGTCCGAGACATGAGCAACACGACCAATGCACGATACGAACAGGCGCAACGGAACGGCCTCTGCATGATAGACGAGGCTTGTAGTATTCCATATCAGGTGAGAGCTATGTGGCATCTCGTAGCGAATCTCACTTCATCATGATCCGTTTGCTGTGTAGACCCGACGTAACTTCTCTCTCGCTGACACGTGCATCCAATGGAGGCCTATACGCGGCAGTCGCATGTGACGGCATCGTAGCTGCCTCTTCTGTTGTTTCCTTGACACCTTCCCCACGCACGACATCAACTCAAGAACTTCAAATCCTCCGTCATGCGTCTCCTTCACCTCACATCATCCAGTCCCGTCCCAATCTTATTGCGCTACCATTAGCTCCATTACCAGCTGCATCGCCTATCACAATCTGTGAACATCAAGATGCCTACACCCGTCCTCCGGCCCACCTCCAAGCCCCCAAGCGGTGCCGCGCCGTCGACATCCTTCCTACGTCTGCTCCTCGACGAAATCAGGTCACAAGATGGCCCTACAAAGGATACGCCCCGACCGCCCCGACCAACACTCAGGAGCCTACAGATCCCACTTTCGCGCTTCATAACTCAGCCAGATGCCACTGGGGAGGATATCGACCCCTCCAAGTCGCCACTTCTCTTCTGCGACTCTGATATATCGTCCATGCCTTCACCTGCTGAGCCTCCGACTTCGGCAGTGACTTCAGCTTCAACTGAGACGACGGTTCCGAGCTCAGCGCTGACGGACTCAACTGTGCCTTCAGATCAGAGTTCCTGGGTCACGTGTCGTACGTACATCCAAATTTTTGACCATACCCAGGCGCTGACATCGCGAAGCACGCAAGCGAGAGAGAAGCCAAGAGACAGCCGGGCGACGACATCAGACCAAGAAGCTGCGGAGCGACTCACCAAAACGAACCCTGGCGCCTACAATACCTCGATCAGGAACACCTGAACGACACGACACGCGAAGGTATACGTCAGGGTCCCCTGAACCCCCTGAAACCCCCAGCTACCTAAGACCACTACACTTGATGGATACGAGCGACGAACTCCGGCACGACATCTCCATATACAAGAACCCCCATGGCGACGACTGGAAGAGGAACGCGCTGTGCAGACACTGCTTCCAGCGCCGCGGCACCTTCAACAGAATCATGACGCATGGCTACGAGGCGTGCGGTCGTGAGGAATGTTTAGATAGCCACTACTGGGAACCTACTCCTGGGCCTTATTACTAGGATATACGCGCTGGACGCGGTGGTTATGACGAGATTGGATCAAATGAACTGTTTTCCTTGCTATGCCACTTCTTGTGAGTGATTTTACTACATTTCGTATCGCATTTTGCAAGAACGTTGTTCAAGAATATTTCTTGAGTCTGAGGTATACATTGTCTAATGCCGTAGCAACTTATCAACTTTCAACAGCATGTATGCGGCAAACCGCAACTCAATATCCACCTCCCCAGAGCATCGTCGCGCCCACCATGAGACCCCACCCGTCCATTACCCTCCCAACTTCCCCACTATCTAGTTTTGAGGCTCAGATATTTTCAGTTTCGGACTTGTGGATCCCCTCCTTGGAGAGATGCCTGTCCATCTGTAGTTATCATCACCGCCTCCGATGATTTCATGTCGGCCTGTTGAGTTCAAGTCCATCAAGGACACTTATCCAGAACCACGCATTCTAACCAAGTAAGAAAGGGGCTTTGAGTAGTGTGTTTCTTGGTGGCTGTGGCTGCTCAGGCATATGGGGGTTTGACAGAAGGAAGATTTTTTTCGGTGTTCTGCCACCGAATGATAGGATAACTCCATTCAATAGGAAAGGTGAAGGCGGGGATGCAAGGGCTTTTTATATTCCTGAATGCTGGGTGTGGGGCGGTATAACCATGGTATGAACGCTCAAATGCATCGTATCGTAACACGGGCCGTGATACCATGGCATAGCAATGATCCACTTCTTCCGTTGGCACTGCGATGGCGCAAAGCGACGACCCAGTCAAATCGACCATCATACACAGCATTTACATCTACGCACTGCGCACTCCAATAGGCTATGTTATACTCATCGAAGTCTTATCACACGCCGAAATCTTAGCATCCAATCCATGTTTAGCATGTTCACCTTCTTGTTGCATCCCGAGGTCGCCTTGGCGGCGGCGACCATGCGTACCGCATGCGTCATCGTTGCCGTACTAGTCTTTTCTAGAACGCAAGAGCGATTACCCAACCCACAATCCGTCAGTCACCAACACACAGCATTGGCGGACCCCGGATCACCAGCAAAGAAAAAGACAAAGGCAAGGAAGTCACATCACATCATCACATCATCACAGAGAAGGGGAATGAGCAAGATTGGAAAGAAAGATGCCATTTCGCGCTCTCGCACTAATCTGAACACCCAAGAGAAATGTCACCTTCAGAAACAACTGGAACACCGTCAATGCATCCGAAGACACTCTGGGTCCAAAAGCTGCGATAAGGTCTTTGATCTGCCCGACCCTGATGACCACGTATGCTATGGAAGAGCATCGTAGCGCAGATAATCTATCTTTAGACCACGAAGGCCAAGGAGCGGGTGGTATCCCTCAGTAGCCCTCAAAAACCCTCAGTAGCCCTCATGCTATCCCTCAGGAGCCCTCATGTTAGCATGTCACAGTGCACTGTGCAAGGAAAGGAAAGGAAAGGGCGAAAACGAATGCAAGTGGGATGAAGGAGAAAAGGTGGTGTTGGGGGCGAGGACGGGGTTTTGTAGGGGGCTTGGGACGGCGGGCTTCTTGCCAGTGTTCAGATGCGCTTGCTATGGCACTGAGGGTGGCTGCTCGTTTCGATGGCATGGGGGCTCTTTGGATGGCAAGTGGCACGCGTTGGGGAAGAAGGGCCTGATGGTTCGTGACAGGTGTGGTTTACGATGAAGGCACGATTCGGGGTATGGGGAAGGGGAGTATGGCCGTGAGGCAGGAATAGGGCAGCATCATGGAGTTTGAATGTCACGATTCATGGATTGGCAAGGCATGAGTTGCCAGCTATGATACGCATTCTAGATTTCACGCATTCATGTAGAAGGCAACGTTTAGGAGATATCGTCTAGCTAACATTCTGCTTGTATGATTACATGCTGTGGACTGTCTCCTATTGTGCATCGCTGTGTACATCTCAACTGCGCATCACTCGAACGAGCACCGAATATTTCATCGAACAAGAGTGATCACAATCACGGTCGGTAAACTCAGTGCACGTCATACATGTTAGTAGGAAATAGAATAAGAAGAATCGTTTAACAAGACTTGCATGGATAGACACTGCTCTATTTGCTTAATGTCATGGATGCACAACCAGCGCATAGGCTGCGAGCATTAAACCTCTTAGGTACAGCTAGGAACCGCGAGATTCCCTTCAAAACTCCAGCCTTGTGATAATGTATCATTAACTTGACGTATGAATGAAGTTCTAATTCGCATAGTTCCGATTCGAATAACCCGAGCAGATCACCACCGCCGCATCGCTCAACTCGTCATGTTCAGCTTTCCGGTCAATGCAGACCTATTCTGTCCTGATACCGATTGATCAGAAGAGCCACTATGGGGCGCATTGAATCAGTGATCGAGATTTGATGGCTTACCTGATATCAATGAGGCGGACTATTACACATGTATCGAATGCGCAACGCCCTTCCACCAAATTGCCATCCACGACAAATCCAGAGAGACATGCATCAGCCATTCCATCGGCGGCGTACTCGCGTATTATTTGCGCGCTCAAGGCGCTACCTAGAAACGTCTGGAAGAAGGGCTTCATGTTTTCTTTTTCCTTACCAACGCCCGTCATCTCCCCTAGTGCATTTCCCACGTGGTGCCGTTATTGCGGCAGTCCGGATATGGATGTCAGAAGCTTATGTCTGATGTCATCCTTACACTGAAAACACCACACCTGCATAAGCAGATGAAATTTTACAAAGCTTATATGTTGCGTTCTGCTTTCAAAGCCAGAACGAGATGCCTCGTGGTCTCGGGGTTTGGAGTTAGTGGCAATCGTGGTGGGCAGGTGCGCCCTTGCAAGCTAGTTGCACAACAACTCCAACACGATTGATGGCTGCAACGGGCTACAACACGGAGATACGGTATGTGACCTTCTGCGAATGTTTGAAATGGGCAACGTGAGGTTGAAAGACGTTGTCACATAGCATTTTCCAGGGACCAGGGCAAATGCTTTTCCGAACGGATGGTTTTGCTAATTACGGCCCGCTAGTCTTTGCCATCGGCAGGTCTTGCGCCGATCGCGGCAATTCAAGGGCGAAGACATGAATCGCACCGTCGGAATCGCTGTCGGAAGTACCGTCGGAAGGCCGCTCACGAAGGACGACGGTGTTGTATCTCCAAATCGATGTGTGCGTCTGCCATAGAATTCATCGTCGGCACTCGCGCGTTAAATCCGCATTACATACCAGCATGCTGATCAACATGTTCATGTCAGAACCCTAGCAGATGTCTTAGCCGGATGACGCACATACGCACCCCAGCAATCTAGACAGACTGGCGCCGTTATGGCAGGAAGACGCCACCCCACTCTGCGCACGAGTGGCTCCAGAGCCTTTGGGCCGATCGCCGCGGCGCGGTTTGAAAGCTTAGTCGAAGCGCGATGTCTGCTTCTAGAGTATACAGTATCCCTTCTTGCCGCGGTATTCCCACTTCATTCCTTCGCCTGTTGGACCTGCATCGCTTCGCATAACCAGGGTTTGTCATCAGGGGTTCTTTGAGAACCTTAGCGAGTTATATCCGAGCGGCAATTAGTCGTTTCTAGAGTGGAGCAGTTTCTGAAAGATTGGCGTGTCGTTGTTGATTTTGGTACTCGTCGGACCTTGCGTTTCATTCCAACACCCAGAGCGACGGCGAGACACGTCAGAATGGAGTCGAAAGAAAGAACGAGCTTTGGCTCGGCCCGCGAACAACATGAAGACAGCGCGTCAAGCGAGTACGAGAAGAGAGGAGTATCTGCTGCCGACATCGACGAAGAGAAAGCTGATCGTCATGACGGAGCTATGCAGTCTCCAACGAAGGAGAATAACGCATCAGCTGAAAGAGGCCGCAGCCAAAGCAGACGTTCGCAAGACGGTAGGAGTCTGAAGACTGTCAGATCGCATCACTCGAGAGCTGGAGGAGATGGCTACACATGCCTCGACGCAGAAGCCAATGCCAAAGGCCCAAGCGACTCCCGACCCGGCCCTGTAACAGAGCAACCGTACCTCGTGACCTGGGATGGTGACGCCGACCCAGAGAATCCACGGAGCATGGGCAAACTACGAAGATGGCTCATCGTGTTGATATGCGCCAGTAGTTCACTATGCGTGTACGTCATCAACTCCATATACGAACCGTTGCGGGCGCACAAACTAACGATTGCTAAATGTAGGACATGCACCTCATCGCTATATACGTCGACGTATAGTCAGCTGGAGCCTGAGTTTGGGGCCTCGCGCTTAGTGTGCACGCTTGGTCTATCTATGTTTGTTGCGGGACTCGGCGCAGGACCGATGATTCTAAGTCCACTCTCGGAGGTGCGTACAGCTGCCGGGAATTAACGGCACTTCGCCGTACCCGTGATCGACTAACAAGATCCAGTTCTACGGTCGAAGGCCAATCTATATCTGCTCGTTCACATTCTTCCTCATCTGGATGATACCATGCGCCGTGGCACAGAACATCCAGACGATGTTGGTTGCGCGCTTCTTGGACGGCCTAGCTGGCTCAGCCTTCCTCAGTGTTGCTGGAGGGACTGTTGGTGACATGTTCGGGAAACACGTCAGTACATTCGAGGCTCGCTAGCCGTCTATATCTGACGTAAGTGTAGGAGCTATCTGCACCTATGATGGTCTACACAGCCAGCCCGTTTGTTGGGCCAGAGGTTGGTCCTCTGATAGGAGGCTTCATCGTGGAAAATACTACATGGAGATGGTAAGTGCTTATTCCAGGCCCACTATCCCCACCTTGCGACACTGCACCTGCAGCTGCGATGGCGTTGGCCGAGCTGGCAGCATCTACCCCTGATACTCGTATCGAGTGTGCCGTCGATCAGCTCTTGCGGAGAAATCGGCGATTGGTGTTGACACGCAATCAGGTGTTTCTATGTTCTCATCATCTGGTCTGGAGTTCAGGTAAGGTTGTGCTGCACACCATGTGTACCAGAGACTAATGCTAGCCTGGTAGCTTTGCCTAATCGTTCTTTTCGTGCCTGAGACGTACCACCCCGTCTTGCTCCGTCGAAAGGCGATTCGACTGCGAAAAGAAACTGGCAACCCAGAGTGGATAGCGCCAATTGAGAAGATGGACAGATCTATCGCCAAAACCGTGCTGTGGTCATGCATCCGCCCGTTTCAACTTCTATTCTTCGAGCCTATGGTGGGTCTCCGCGCTTAGTCAAGCCGTGATTGGTGGACTGACTGTTGTGATCTAGTGCTTGAGTCTTTGCATCTTGTCGGCAATCTTGTTGGGTATCCTGTACCTCTTCTTTGGCGCCTTTCCTCTCGTATTCGGCAACAACCATGGCTTCAGCATCTCGCAGGTTGGACTCGCATTCTTGGGTCTGTTGGTTGGCATGCTCGCGGGTGTCTCCACGGACCCTCTCTGGAGAAGGATATACGGCAGGCTCGTGCAGCAACGCGAGGAGCAAGGAGGCGAGCCCGGAGGTTCGGAACCTGAGTTTCGGCTCCCTTCGACTATTGTTGGGGCCTGGGTCGTCCCTGTCGCACTCTTTGGTAAGCCACTGCATGGCCTCGCCTCGAACAAGCTTCTAATCACACGTATGCAGGGTTTGGGTGGACGACATACTCCTCAGTAAGTTTAGAATTTTACTGGCATGGAAGATTCCATGGCTAACATCCCGGCTTCCGCAGGTTCACTGGATAGGTACGACATCATCGTGCATATTGTCCAGTCGCAATAATAACTGACCATGACACTGCAGTTCCAATTATCTTTTCAGCAGTATTTGGCCTTGGGTAGGTTTCTTCTTTTAGACGCTTCAGGTGTCGTCGATGAACAGCTCACTGACCGTATTCCGTGACGTAGTGTCATCTGGGTCTATTCAGGGGTCTTTACATTCTTGGTGGAAGCTGTAAGTCCCACCACGCACCGAAGTCGGACCAGGCTCTTGGGTGCAGAGATAGTGACCTCGCCGAACAGTACCCTGTCTACGCTGCATCGGCTCTCGCGGCCAACAGCTTCGCGCGGTCGTACTTTGCTGCGGCTTTCCCGTAAGCTAGCACCAACGTTGGGGCAGACTTCATTACTAATTAACGACATAGACTATTTGGTGTTCAGATGTACAACAGTAAGTCCCTAGGACGGCACACCATGATGAAAGAGCGGTCACTGATTTGGAAAAGATCTCGGCTACCAGTGGGCAACTACTCTACTTGCGTTCCTTGCGCTGGCTATGGCACCGTAAGAGACCCAAGAGAATGGTCGTGGGAACCACTAACGTATAGTGTTGCAGATTTCCAATCTTGTTCTTTCGATATGGCAAGCGGCTCAGGGGAGGCAGTCGATATGCATCAGCATAGTGGGCATGGAAGCGACGCGAGGGCATGTGGCAGACTTGACTGGAAGAGGACTAATAATAGCGAGTGACACGGCAGTTTGATGCGAAAGAATTTTATTGAATCAAGGAATTTGCGCCCACACGTGAGACCACATGAAGCAGGCTGGCCGGGCCCTTGTGCGACGGAACATGAGCGCCACGAGGGCGGCCACGCCAGCTCGAGGGACAACGGATGCACAAGAGACGAAAGCGGCTGCGGATGGTACCGTTGCCGGGGGCGGTGCACCGGCGTGCGAGGAAACGTGGTCGGCAGGCCAGAGACACGGTGAGGGAGACAGTGAGGGCACACAGCGCTCGCGAAGCGTAGCGAGTGATGGTAGTTGGTGATACGAGCGCGCCCATAGGCTGGGGATACGCCAGTGAGAACCAACGCCAAGGCCTCGCATCCCACACTGCATGCATGCCTCATAGCCGAGTTTGAGGCACTTTGGGCATGCCGGCTGCTTGCTTTTTGGGGATGCGCTGTGTGGCATGAGGTGTCGCGGTGGGAATTGCGAGTGACTGGGCAGGGCCGTCTGCAGCAGGGTGCCCAATCTGCAAAGATGGACTGACCGCGATCCACCTATGTATTGACGACGATCATGTGGCAGACAGCAGCCCCAGAGTGGCTGAAGTGCTAGCGACGTCAAATAGTGAAGCAGAAGTGCGTGACTGCGGGCTAGCGGCCGGCCAAGCAAGCGGCTTACCGGTCGACAGGGACCGAGGCAGCTGCGTGGGCTGCACCTTCCAGCAAACCTCGAACAGCCAATTGCGGGGAATCGCATCTGCGCGCATCTTGCAGCGAGCTCCAATATACCGCACACGACCAGCGCCCGACGCCGCGAGCCCACTCTCAACTGCACACAGCGCTGCAAGTGCCCTGGCCGCTCGTCAAGCCCAGCAGCGCCTCCATCGCCTCGACCGCGCGCTCCGTCGCGACTCGTAGCCGGCCTCCCCAGACGATCATCTCCCATCGCCCATCGCCATCGACATCGCTATCGCCCATCGCACCTGCCCCAGCGCTGACCGTGACTGCACGCGCTGTATCACCCCACTGCCCTATCGTGTCGCGCCTTCCGCGCTCGACGCGACGCCGCACCCGTGACTGCCACGCTGCTGCTCTCACCTCCCGCGGGCTCACTGAACGAACCCCGGCACCGCTTGTAGAACCACACTCGACTCCCAGCAGCATGGGCAGCGCGTCTCGGTAGCATCTCGCTATCAAACATGGTTCTGTGTGCTCCTGGAATGCTCCCTCGATTACATGGACCCCGGCCCCGTACCACAATAGCTCTGTCCCATACCTGTCCGCCGGATTGAGAGCCCTTCACTCTCTGGGTCCCCTGCATAGCTCGTCATTGGACCTGTCAGAGTGCCACGGCAGCGCCCGTTCAAGCAGCCAGCGCACGCGTGATCGCACTCTAAAACACGCAGCTGGAACGCCTCCAGCCGTGCACCCCAGACACATTGGCTGAACCGTTTTGCTGGGAACACCCCAAGATCACCATTGACGGCTACACGCAGCACTAGGCTCTCTCCCCAGCGCCTCCGTCCACCGCAGCGACCGTCCGTGCTTGGCCGAGTGCCTGCGCCAGTAGAGGGGATATCATGACCACCCCAGACGCCCAAGATGCCTCTCCTTCGCCCGAGTACAGGAGCGACTTGGACGACGACATGGCTGCTGAACAGACTACAGACCGCCAGTCTGGCGACGGCGATTCCAGCCAGAAGCCTACCAATGGAAAGCCCAATGCAAAAGACCCTCTAAGACCGCGGAGGAAGAAGGCGCGGAGAGCGTGCTTTGCCTGCCAGCGAGCCCATCTGACATGTGGTGAGTATTGATTGTGAGTCATTGCATTCAGTGGCGGGACTGACAGCTTCTAGGCGACGAGAGACCATGCAATCGCTGTATCAAGCGCGGTCTCCAAGATCATTGCATGGACGGTGTGCGCAAAAAGGCCAAGTACCTCCACGATGCGCCAGATGGAGCGCTCATGCCTGGTGTGGGCGGCCACTACCCGTATATGAACGGCAACCGCCCAACACCGATACCGAGTCACGACACACAACCAGTCTCGGTCTCTCCACAGAGCAACATGTACAATCAAGCCCAGCCCGCGGCATTCTACCCGCCCAACTCGATACCAGGACAAATGCCTGTGGCTCAAGACGGTCACGCTTTCAGCAATCAGCAGTCGCCAATATCACCTCCCTTTAACCAGACACACCACGGCCCAGTACAAAACGCACCAAACCCCATGTCTCAAAACCAGCAGGGCCAATTGCAGCAGTTTGGACCTTTGTTCGACCCAAGTGACCCCGCACTGTTCAATTTCGACATCTCGAGCCTCAATTTCGGAAACCATTACGGAGCGCTGGAATTTGGCATGCTAGGTCACATGTCATCAGGCGCAGTGGACACACCTCACGATAACGCAATGATGAATATGAACGGAGCTGTGAACATGTACAACGCACAGATGCCCTCAACTTACGCGGACCAGAACAACGCGGCAACCGCCATGGCATACAATGCGAACGGACTCCCAGCAGGCGAATGGCAAGACGCACATTCGCGGCAAGGGAGCATGCACGTTCACACGCCAAACACCGCTGGCCATGATCACCATAGTCTTCGAAACGACAGCCTCAGCGGTCCTCACGCATTCGTCATCGGCCAAGGGCCTGCTAGCCATACAGCAAGTCCAGCCTCTACGGACGCGTCTACCTTCGAGGGTGACAACCCACTGGCGACCGCAGCGTTCTTCGCCAACACAAACCGAACGCATGCGCAGCGTTCGCCAGCTGTTAGTCGATCACAACACGAAACCAGACCTTCGACCACGGCACTCCAGCCGATACACTCTAATGGCGTGCGCAAGCGACAACGGGACACCAAGAGCATATACCAAGGGGTTACCAAGCCATACGATTACGTCAAGGGCTATCACAGGCTTTATCAGCTGATCGACAAGAACTACTCGAGGCCTTGGGTCGCTAAGGCACAACAGTACCTTCAAAACTACCGACCTGTATTGCTACAAGTGCGGGAAGAGTTGAACAGAGACGACTTGATCCATCAAGAAATGGGTCTCCAGCGTCAGGTTATGACACTGCAAGATCACTTTGCGGAGGTCGGCACACCCTTCTTGATATGTCGTCGCTCAGGCGAGATTGTCGGTATCAACAAGGAGTTTACCATTCTCACGGGCTGGAAAGACCAGGTTCTCCTCGGCCACGAGCCCAACCTCAACGTCAACACGGGCACAAACCGCGACACAAGCGAAAGCGACACGGGCTCAACCCAAAATACCACACCCAACCTCACCGCGCAAGACTCCGAGACCACACCAAGCGTCAACATCATCGAGCTCATGGACCCCAAGTCCGCCCTTGAGTTCCTCCAGCACTTCTCCGAACTGTGTTACCAGGACCCTCACGGCTACGCTTCTCAGCGCGTCAACATGCTCAGATACCAGACCAAGGCAGACATGGATCGCATCCAGGAAATGAAGAATGCAAATGCCGGTGCTGATGTCAAGGTCGACCCGCTTGTCAAGGTGGAGGGCGAGAGTGCTATGCAACGGCTCGGCGCGAAGAATGGTATGGTTGATTGTATGATCTGGTGGCATATCAAGCGCGATATGTTTGATATGCCTGTGCTTGTTTGTATGAGTGTAAGTTCAATCCTGGTATCGTGTAAGGCCAAGTGCTAATAATTGTGTAGGTCATGCCTGTTCTCGACAAGGGCCTGCAGTGAGTGGGATAGGTATGAACAAGAACGCAGCTCTTGTTGCATTCCCAACGAAGGATTGCCTGAGTACGGATGATGGACTTCGAGTTTCTACGATCATGTCATGGCGGCAGTGAAAAAGTGCTTTTATGGTTCTGGTTTGCTTGGAATGTTGGCGCATATGCATGGATACCAGAGTCGTCTCACGAGACGTGCGCATCATGGAAGGTAGTGCTTGGTATGCTACTTCTTGTTATTTGTTTAGGTGTTCGAGGGCGTACATCAAGGCGTAAACGGAGTAGACGAGCTGCCACCAAAGGCGCGATACCAATGCTTTCCACGGCTAGAACAACAGTATGATAATAATGTTCCGTTTCATCCATAACATTCCTCGTCATGCGCACCGTGAGACCTTCTCCTCACTCCATCCCCTCCATCACCCCCTAATTAATCATCTGCGCAATCCCCACCCCATCCTTCTGCCCCTCCTGATTCCAATTCACCTTAACATCCTCCCCACCCTTCAACCACTCATCCCTCTTCCAAACCTCATACCCCTCCCTCGCCAAACTCCTCTGCGCAACCCGAATATCCTCCCTAATATCCTCCACCAAAGCTTCCTTACTCACATAATCGTACTCCGGCCGTATAAACCCCAATATCATCAGACTAAGCTGCGCGCCATAAAAGTCCTTCTCGAAGCTGTGTAAGATGTGGATTTCGATGCTGCGTTGGCTGTTCTTGTAGTACGGGTTGTAGCCGATGGAGAGGACGGTGGGGTAGATTGTGGAGGGCGTGGGCTTTTCTGAGGAGTATTCGAGGTCGAGGACGGCGTGGGAGGAGGATTGAGAGGGGATGGAGGTGTCGGATGTGGCGCTGGGGACGCTGGTAGAGGAGGTGGAGTGGGCGATTGTGGTTGTGTCGAGGGTGCACCAGCCGTAGTAGATGCCGGATTCGAGTTCGTCGTGGCCGCCTATGCTTAGGCCGGAGAGGGGGATGTTGGCGGTGGGGATGCCTAGCTGGTATTGTTAGCTTGGGATGATGGTTGAGAGGACGATACGGTTCGTACCTCTTTGCTTCCGCGTCCAAAGCCTTTTACTACGGGGCCTCGGAGCTTTATTGGGAAGGGTGGTTGTGGTGTTTCGGGGCCGGCGATGGGGTCGCGGGGTTTGTCTGGTCGGACCATGGTGTTGGTTGTATTTGTAGGATCGATGTAGGTTCGAATTGGAGTACAGAGATCAGAAGGTGAGTTATTTGGAGGAAAAGGAGTGTTGAGCGTGGTACTTCGAGCACTTTCTGGTCGGGATGATGGAGGTCCGATCGGAACATTGGTGGGGCTCATGTCAGATAGCAAGCGTCACCGTTGCTGGCTTAGTCAGCGTCGTGGTACCTTGCATCGTCACTTCTGACGTGGACATGCAAACGGCAACTACATTAGCTTGTTCAGTAACACACGATATGATTCTCAGATATCTGTCTCCTGTACCGATTCGTAATTTGACTGCTGCCTGCTCCAGATCCCGCTACTTGTTATCAAACGCGCGCGACATGGCATCTGCTTCGACGGGTCAAAAGGCATCGCGCCTCTACGATGACAAAGCTGCGTTCATCTACGGTACTGCTTGGAAGAAAGATCAAACAAAGAGGCTAGTCAAGGAAGCTCTAGCCCAGGGCTTTCGTCGCGTCGACACAGCTGCACAACCACGGCATTACCAGGAACCTTTGGTCGGTGAAGCGCTTCGTGAGGCATTTGCTGAGGGTACACTTGAACGCAAACAGCTATATGTAGGTTTAACGGAGACCGATTGTAGTTGATGCTTATGCGTCACAGTTACAAACAAAGTATACCACGCCTGCCGGCCAAGATCTGAACAACATGCCCTACAACCCTGACGCGCCGCTGGACACCCAAATACACACATCCGTCGCGTCCTCGCTGAAGAATCTGCGATACAACGACTCAGATAATGTCTCATACGTTGAATGTCTACTTCTGCACTCTCCACTGCCTACCATTGACCAAACACTTCAAGCGTGGAAACTACTAGAGTCTTATGTGCCCGAAAAGATCCGCTCCCTCGGCATCTCCAACGTTACTCTTCCCATTCTCCAAGCCATCTTCGAGAACGCCACGATAAAGCCGGCCGTTGTCCAAAACCGTTTCTACCCTCAGACACGCTACGATGCATCGTTACGCGCCTTCTGCCGCGAACACAACATTATGTACCAGTCCTTCTGGACTCTGACCGGAAACCCTTCTCTTATCAGATCCGAGCCGGTCGCTGCGTTGGCTCAAGCTGTTGGTGTCGGACTGCCCGTCGCGCTTTACGCTCTTGTCATGGATCAAGGAGTCGTTGTGTTGAATGGGACTACTTCAAGTGATCATATGTGGGCGGATCTGGAGGGTGTTGAGAAGGTGTGTGACTGGGCGCTGTCGCAACCTGACAAGTTCAAGGCTATTAGCGAGGCCTTCAAGTCACTGCTCGCATCGTAGGAAGTATTGTCACGAATTGGAGCGCACTGTACGTGCAATGTCTGTCATCCAAGAGCAAAGTTATCTCGAGTCGTTACACGTATGTCGCGCAGTACTCGGCCTCGACAAGGCGGTCTGAGCAATTAGATTGACCGCTCTATATGGTGCTCAACAAAAGGCATCCACTCTCCTCCTCCGATTCGCTCTGGAGAGTTGTCGCGGAAGGGACACGTGCCTCAAGCCTTAGTTGCCTAGACGATGCAAACAGCTGCCAGCTCGGTACGCACTGACCCCCCTTGACGACTTTTGTCACACAGACGGTCGTTGAGCTTTTGTCCACCTTTGCCGCAAACCAGAACCTCTGACTACTGACAATTGCCGTGACGAAGGAGATTGAGCCTACTAAACAAGCAGAACACTTCTACTCGACAAGCGCAAAAAGTATGCTCAGCATATCGACTCCACGGCGCAACGCCGATGATGATCCCAGTCATGCATACATTTTCTCCGTTTTGGAGAAACTGTAGCGGCTGGTATCATCATGAATATGGACCTAACGACGTGAACTAGTACAAAAGCTCCAGAAGCAAAGATGCCAGCCACCGAGTCGCGCAACGATGTGGAACGTCGAATGTACCCAAAAGGAGTCCACTACCAGTCGTAAGATACAAGTCAATACATCCATAAGGAAGAGAACTAACATACAACAGGTTCTTGAGACTCGTATGTGACGACGCCAGCCCAGGCTGGTGCTCAGAGCTCACCTCGAAAATGGTGCACCAGCTACCTCGGGAACTCCGCGATATCATCTACACGTACATCCTCGAGAGCCGGTGTATCAACCGTCAGCATCAGGTGCTCATAGTCAACAACCCCACGGACTGGAATCTTGCAGAGTTCACCAGTAACCCCACGCACCTCGGTATCAGGAGATGTACCATCAAAGGCGTTGAGATTCCACATTTCGCAGTGTACGAACACGTCGACGAGACCTACCGAATCGAGTTAGCAGAGACTTTATACCGCACCAAACTGCTTCGGGTGGCAGTGATGCACGAGCTCAAGTCTACACTGAACTACGACGTCCTCATCACTAGTTGCGACCCGAAGGAGCATATACGCCGCATCCAAATCGAGCTTAAATTCGACTGTGGCACCAAGACTCAAGCTCAATACGCCAAGCAGCTTGAACCCTTGTGGTACCTTCGTCATCTCAAACACCTCAAGGGAATGAAGGTGGGATTCATCGTCCACTTCATATACGATGACGTTCTCCCGCTTCTGGAGGAAGCTACAGCACCATTGGTTCAGCATTTGGCATCAGAAGGTGCGAGAGTGGGTTGGTACAGGAAGGGAAGGGGTAACGATGCGCCAAGCAAAGTTGAACATGGCACCGCATAATGCAGCAGGGAACCTATGATTCACCTTTCCGCGTCAAAGTAGGAAGGAATTGAACACCGTAGAGCCTACATCAGCTTCAGCTCACCTACTTTGCATGTTTTAAATCTTGATGTAGTCTACAAACCTGTGTAGGGCTTTGCCTATATCAGGTATTTCTTAGCATGAATGCGGCACTTGATCGATAGCTATAAGGCAACCGGTCGTGTATTCAGACCCCTCCGCCCCACCCCAACACAACATACACTATCAGACCCAATACTGCATCCCATCCCAGAGCTTTCACTGCGTACCCGCCGTTTACTAAAGACCCCACAACGCTGCCAGGCGTGAGATCCTTCCTCATCATCGCCGCATTCGCAACCGCAAATCCACCAGACACGGTAATACATTTAACAACATCCGCATCCCTCAAGCTCATAGCCGAAAAGTGGGGAAGTAACAAAACGGCGCGAGTTACGAGAAGTAGACCGCTGAAGACTGAGTTGGATTGTAGAGCTGGAAGTGCGAGTAGAGCCGCGTTGAGAAGAATGTTCGGGATTTGCAGTGTTGCTATCGGCTTGCGACGTTTGGACGTGACATCGGGTTTAGGTGCTCCATTCGCGAGTGCAATATCTGGTGAAGAGAGATGGAGTTGGATCAGGAATAGCGAAACTGTAAAGGAAATGGGTAGGATCTGGCCGAGCAGGATATACGTGCGCACCATCGACGTGTCGTATCTGCGCGTTCTCGCTATGTATACATTAGTACCCTCTCCACGCGAGTGTATCGAGAAATGCCTACCCTTCTGCGCCATGTAGATGTTCCAAAACCACGTCGCCAGAATCGCTGCCTGCGTCCACACCGCGTTCGGCGCATCTTTAACCAGATCCTGCGCGAAATCTTGGAATAAAGTCGATTCTAACATCCATCTCTTCACCTTTTCCGCGCTGACATTACTGAAGCTTCTACTCTTATCCCCGCTCCATTCCAGATAGTGCGTGATCAGGAACATGAGCATGTGGTAGGACAACGTCGCGAAGCTGATCGAAGCGAGGAACGCGTAGATCTTGACGTGGCGCGCTCGCGCCGCCTTTGCTGCATTGAGCTTCTCATCCTTTGACGGGCTAGAAGTGTTGTATATGGCTGTGTATTGAGCGTAGAGCGAGTAGCTGATCTTGATGGTCGCGTAAAGTGCTGCGACGATGTAGGAGAGGAAGATGGTGGTGCCGATGTAGCTGTTGGGTGGTGTGGCGTAATACACCAGCGCGTCGTACCCAGGGATTTCCATCTTGCGCGTTTATGCTGGCGAGGTATTATTGCTGGAGGAATAGTACCAGAAAAAATAATGGGCGACGTATATATCATTGCGGCCAGACGCGAGGTTTCAAAAGTGTGCGATGATGCCTGACGTCATGACACAGTTGGTGTCTGAGAAATCGGGCGACGCGACACTTCGGCGTCTTTCTCCTCCGTCAACACACACGCGCGACATCACAAAATGCGGTCGCGTTCATCTTCGCGCGCTGTGTAGGAGTCATTGTTCCAGCCATCTCTCGCGTTGCTTGATGGTAGCGCCGGGCCGCCCCAGAATCTAAGATACCTGACTACCTGGTTCAGGTAGCCGTGGAGGCTGCAACGCAGCACAAACTAACAACTCAACGATGTTACGCGGCATGTAGCCGTCAGAGTGTGGGATGCGACTTATTCTACGAGCTTTGAAAACCTCGAATGGTCGAATAAAACAAGTACTGACTGTAACGTACTTACCAAAAGAGAAGGGCTCGTCAATGGGAACAGCTTCAAACGAGTTACGGGGTTCTCAACACCATAATCCGGACCCTTTTGCACGACCCCCGCAGTTTGTGACTCATGGGCTCGAAGTTTGGCACGACCATTGGGGACCTATCATACCTCAGCGGTAGGAACTTCCCCACCCAAGGTTGTAACAGGCAGCAGCCGGCCGGTCAAGTATATCAGGAGCGTGCGCGCTGTTTCTTGAGAGACCCCAACAACTTTACCTTTTAACTCATCAATCCCATAACAAGAACAGCAACGATGCGCCACGTGTGCGGTTGTTACATCTCCCATCCCGGAACGCGGGAGCGAACATACCTCCCCCAAATTAAGGTCGACGCACACACGACGATTATCTCCACGGCCGCCCGCACTACCTTGACGCAGACATTCGTGAACCGGTCTCAGGAGTCATTGGATGAGATTCGATATGCCTTTCCGTTGTTCGACGGCGTCAGCGTTGTCGAGTTCTTCTGCCAAATCGGCGAGCGTACCATCTACGGCCTAGTCAAGGAGAAGAACGAAGCCAAGAAGACCTACGAAAAGGCCAAGGAGAAAGGCGAAACCGCAGCGCTCCTCGAACGACTAGATGAGGCGGCGGATGTCTTCTCAACTGCTATCAGCAACGTTCCCGGAGGCGCATCTGTGCATGTGTCCATCAAATACATCCAAGAGCTGAAGCACGATGCCGAAGTCGATGGAATTCGTCTTACCATCCCTGCGTCTATCTCGCCCCGTTACGGATCCTATCCCGGAAAGCTGCAAGAGACATCGGCCGAGATTGATTCGAAGGGTATCTCCATTACCGTGGATGTCAGGATGGCAGAAGGTGTTCCCATCAAGAAGGTCATCTCGCCATCACATCCCATCGAAGTAACGCTTGGATCGCTTTCAACAAGTACCATAGATGAGGAAGCCTTGCTCTCGCAAGGTTCAGCCACGCTTTCCCTAGGTACTACAGGTCTAGACAAGGACTTCGTATTACAGGTGGTTGCAAAAGACGTCGGCGTACCTCAGGCGATCCTGGAGACCCACACAACGCTCCCCAATCAGCGAGCCTTGATGACCACACTGGTACCGAAGTTCAACCTCAAGTCGCAAAAGCCCGAGATCATCTTCATTGCGGATCGATCGGGTAGCATGGGCGATCAGATCCCCACGCTGGTGTCGGCACTCAAGGTCTTCTTGAAGTCAATCCCTATTGGCTGCATGTTCAACATCTGCTCATTCGGTAGCAGCCACTCCTTTCTTTGGAAACAGAGTCAGTTGTATGGCCAAGATACACTGGAGGAGGCTATTCGACATGCAGAAGCGTTCGGGGCCAATTTTGGCGGGACCGAGACACTCACAGCGGTGAAGGCCTGTTTCGAAGCTCGTAACACCGAACTTCCTACCGAGCTCATGCTACTTACCGATGGCGACATTTGGGCTCAAGACCAGCTGTTCGATTACATCTCCAAGAACACAAAGAATGGCAACGTCCGTGTCTTTCCTATCGGTATAGGTGGAGGTGTGTCTAGTGCGCTCATTGAAGGCGTCGCGAGGGCCGGAAGAGGCTTCGCTCAGATGGTTGCAGATAACGAAAAGCTTGATAGCAAGATTGTTCGCATGCTGAAGGGTGCACTCACTCCTCATATCCAGGATTACCGTCTCGAAGTCAAATACGAAGATGACAGCGTCGAGTCTGTTGCCGACAACCTTCGTATTAACCTTCACCTGGACAACGATAACGACGAAAAGCAAACGAAAGCCCCAGACGCCGACGCGAAGCCCATCTCCCTCTATAATCCGGACGTAGTGGAAGAGCATCCAAAGGACGGCGAGTCAAAGGACATCTTTGCTGGTCTACCAGAGCTAAAGCGCCCAACGCTTTTGCAGACACCCCACGAAATACCAGCGCTCTTCCCGTTCAACCGCACATGTGTCTATCTCCTCATGTCTCCAGAGTCATCACATTTGCGACCAAAGAGTGTTGTTCTCAAGGGCACCTCACCGCAAGGCCCATTAGAGCTCGACATCCCGGTCGAAGTACGCAAAGAGGCCGACGAGATGATTCACCAGCTGGCTGCCCGCAAAGCAACACAGGAGCTCGAAGAGGGTCATGGATGGCTGTCTGAGGCTACCGTTGGCGATACTGACGTCTTGCTCAGGAAGAAATATGGCTCTCAGTATCTGTTGCTTCAGAGACGTGAGGCTGTCCGTCTTGGAGTCGAGTTCCAGGTCGGAGGGAAGTTCTGTTCATTTGTAGCCGTAGAGTCTAACGAGACCGAAATCGCCGAAAAGCGCCAAAAAGCTCTGGAATCGACAATCAAACGGAGTGATCTAGCGGATGACGGTGACTGGGAAGTCCTGGAGCATGGTCAAGCATGCAGATCACCGGTTACCACTTCGTATGGTGGCGATACACGATTTGCCAGTGGACCTGCATCCGCGTCGGCGAGGTCTGGACCTTACCCTATGTTCCGTGGAGGCTACGGCAGCGGTCCCTTTGGTCGTACTGGCGGCGGGCGAGGCGGGCGAGGCGGAGGAGGTGGACAAGGCGGGCAATTCCGAGCTAGAAGGATACCTGATGGCACTGCACTATTGGATGACGCCGGCTCAGACGAAGACATGGGTTTTGGATGTTTCGAAAAGGCCAGTGCAGCACCCATGGCTCATCCTGGCCAACCGTCAGCGCTGCGTACGTTGTCTCCCGCGCAAGTATTAGAACCAAGGGGTCGGTTTGGTTCGTCGAAACGGTCGAGTCGGTCGGCCATGGGTCCCTCCTTCTCTCCGCCACAAAGGCAGAAAGTGCAGGAAGAGACCGGCACCCTCCTCCAGCGCCTCATAGCACGGCAGTCCTTTGAAGGGTCATGGGAAGCTATCGATAAGCTTCCGTTCGATGAGATGAAGCTCGACCGCGACGCCGCTAGCCTGGCTAATGCTCAACTCAACGAGCCAAACTCCGAGCAGCTTCTGGCTACTGCAATCGTAGTCTTGTTTCTGGAGAAGAAGATGCAGGGTGAGGAGGACACTTGGGAGTTGGTTGTTGAAAAGGCGCGCGCTTGGCTTGGAAGCAAGGTGACGGAGGAGGTGCTCGCCCGGGTATGGCAGCTGGCTGAGGGTGTTGTTGGAAAGAATTGAGTAGACACCAAGGAGCCTACTTCGACGTCAGATCACCTAATCTGCATGCTTCTAGCTTGGTATGGGCTGCAAAACTGTTTCGCGTTCCCCTTGTATGGGTTGTGTGCGTGTCTGAAGTCACAAAAGAATGGCTGAATGCCTATAGGTACCGCCTACGTAGAATTGATATCCTCATACAGTATATGACATACTCGATAAAGAAATACGCATAGTGTTGAGCATTCATTTACATTTTCGAATATAATGATGCACATGGACTAAACCCCGAAACAAGCTTCGGTAGCAGTCGGCACTAGAGCCAAGCAGTGCTTTTGAGATTCCGGTAGTTAACTCTTTCAAATACAGCATCGCGGGGATTCAATTGTTCAGCGTATCTGTTGCTTTCTCAAGTCAGAAATAGGTGTAATGAGACATTGTATTGTAAGAATTCATCACTGCTTCGACTCATCCTTCGAAGCTTCCGCCGTCTACGCCAGAGTTCGCGAAGTTTCTTCCGTTTCCGGCCCTTCAACGCCGCTAGCTACCGGTCTTTCTGCAAGAGTGATAGCCTGATATTTCGAGACCGGAATGCGCCGCGCGCTCACGCCTGTGTTCCTGTACTTGTACGGCTCGAAGGAGGGCGCTAGCTGTAGATGTGCTTGCCGTGGGAGCTGACTGAACCCCAGATGCTTCCGCATTTGCAGTACCGGTAAATTGGACTTCATTATGCCGAGACGGTTTCGGAAACGATTGGTCTTGGTATATATTGTACTATGGACGCTGGTGATCGGCCATTCTCTGAGTTATGGCGTCGTTCGGCGAGCTTCCATCTACTTGTGCGGTTGGAGCAGTGCCGGGTGTCGATCGGAGTGTATAGTGGAAACCCGATATGAGGACTTCAAAAGAAACTTATGGAGCTCTATGAAGACGAAGGTCGTTGGGATGTTGCTCGTGAGGAAGGCTTGGGAAGCGGAACAGACGCAGGGTTAGGTTCATCTGCGAGTACAGAATCTTTCCATACCGTGCATCGCGCAAGAGATGAAACGACCAGCAATCTCGCTTCCGTCTCCGTTACCATCGATTTCATACTCTTGAACATATTCATGATGCAGTCTGGTTCCATCTGCTGGCGGAACCCCTCTTGCTCCACGTACCAATCTTTCTTTATAGGATCGTACCTCAGGCTGGTCTCCTGACATGCCGCGTCCATGAAGCCGGCCAAAAATTCAAAAATGTGGTTGGTCGTTGTAGGAATTTTATGACGGACAACAAGGTAACCGTATGAGGTGCTGCTGTCGATAATGGAAGATCCCGTGACAGGTTGCACATTCTCGATACTTGTACCGGCGAGCCAATTTGTGGTTCGCACATGTGAGTAAGCCTGTATATCTG